TTTTGGTAGAAGAAGGGTCTTTTGGCAGGACGACTACATACTAGTCGTGGGGGGTGTTAGAAGTCACATGACTTCTTTGTTTGCTCCTAGTACTTAGTCTAGCTAAACCTGTAGATAGCTTCTCTCTTCTACAACGCATCCAGAGATCTCCAGTTTCATCTACAGCTTCATTTGTAGACTGAACATCATCTCTCTCAATTCTTTAAACTACTCTCCCACAACTCAAGTGGTATATACACGTATTTTCCTATTTTTGTTAGCAGGAGACCATATTTGAGAGGGAAAACATTGAAGTTGAGGTGGTTGGGGGGCTTATAACCCGCTAAAAAAGGTAGGGTTTGTCGAGGGACTTAAAACACCAGATTTATCATGAGTCTGCTCAGATACAAAGAAGTCGTTCACTCTGAAGGTGCTTCCTATGGTAGCGAACGATCATTTGTAAGATCACAAGGGTTGTCGTCGTTAACGGGTTGATAAAGAGCGCTACACAGACTTAAGTGAAGGAATTTGACTAGCGTGAGGAGTGAAGTATATACTAAGATATTCGAATGTAGCCTATGTTTTGATATTGATCAAAGTTCTACTTCCTCGAAATTCGAAATTGCTAAAGTTGCAGACAAAAGCCTTCTCAGGAGTGTGTCTTGAAATCTTTACGATGGACACTGACTTGACAAATCCAAAGAGGCCCCCGAGAAGAAATCCACCGACAAGATTGAACATCGGAGCGGAAATTTTGCCTCTAAATCTCCGCTTCTAATAGCCATTTCCCATGTTGTGTTTAGTCTATCACTCTCATTTTCCAATACTGGTCGTCCTATATACAATCGAACAGTATTTTTGTAGCTTTGGGAGTACAGCATGTATAGAACAATAATTTTACAACTTGGAAGAAGGCAGTGTTAGTGCGGAACTCGCTCTCCACACGGGCCAGTTGAGGCATGAGCTATTGCATGCTATGGAAGTTTGCGCGACATCTCGACCCGCGTCCGCGGACAGGGTCAACAACTAGAATCATGGTCGGAGCACCTCATGGCTTTGTTGAGTGGTCCGAGTAGGTATCAGAGACAGTAGCGCTAGTGATAACATGATAAATTTGCCAGCTCCATTGACAACTTCAACGCTCCCTTTGGATTGGCATGTCATCCTCTCCTTTGGCTGCGTGATCTGCTTTGACGTCGATGGCTTTGTGTCTCCCTTTCTACCAGATCGGAATCATTGGAAGAGGGCATAGGCTGACAAAAGCTTTGTGACGCGCTGGGAGAATGCGGATTATCGCTGACCAGATCCCTGGATGCGTGGGAAACAGACCGTTCCACCTCAGCTTCAACCGTAAGCCGCTCGGCATGGCGAGAGTAAACCTGGCTCCTGTCGCGGAATTTGCCAAATTTCAGTTCACTGCCAACCGGCGGATGCTCTTTGATAGAGAAATGAGTACCATCTCTAGTAAGACTTCGAGGACGAAGAGAAGAATCCCTTCGCTTGAATTTTATCTGGTCTCTAGCGCTTGAGGGCTGGGAGTTCCGGACAAATGCAGAGGCTTGGGAGTATATGTCGTCCGCAGAGGACAACTGCGGTGAAGCATCTGGATCTGTTGGAGGTGTGACTTGAGATCGGGTGGAGAATCTCTTAACCAAGTCTCGTGCATCTTTGACGGTGTCCTTCTTGATCTCTTCAATAATTACAGTTATCACTTGGGTGATACCCGCACCGTCTGGATGTCCATGAGGGTGATTCTGCTCGTGGAGCAGTCTCATTGAATCGCTGAACTGTCGCTCTGTTCGGCAAGCTTGCTTTTCCAAGGCCACTCTGTTGTTTCTCGGTTAGCTCCCGATCTATTACGTGTACCTGGACTACTAACATCCTCTCAAGTGCTTGCGATCTTGTTATAGAATCAAAATTTGGCACTTGATGAAAATTGAAATAGCAGAGTCGAGCAGTGAAAGTGTCGTTAATAGATTGAGGCTGGCTTTCACGCTCCCCAGTGTAGCTATTGGAAATTGAAAGTCACCTTTCGTAAAATACCACCGAATCTTTGCCCGAAATTCCTCAAAACCAGCACTTTTTCTCCGGTGCAGTGGCTTAAGTTTGTGGCTGATATCTCGGATCTGGTCGTGAGCCAATTTTGATTGTTCTCGCAGTCGTTGATCAAGATTGTTCTCCCTGGCAATTCGCATGACACGGTTCTGGATTGGACTTATGACTTCCTCGAAAATGCTCGCTAGTACCCGGCAATTTGCAATCTCGTGTTTCAGTTGTTTGACCTCCTTCTTGGCCATGCGGTCATCTCGAGAGAATCGACAAAGACTTTTGCTGCAGGCTTCGAGCTCACTAAACAAAGAAGTTGCAACGAAAGCTAGACCTACAGCCTCCATGACTGTTCATAACAACAAATCAACCAAACTTTGACAGGAATCTCAACTTGTTTATTCGGATCTGAGGCTCAAACAGGGCATGAGCCAACTGTAACTTGAAGTGTAGTACGGCCTATCAAATCAAACCACGACCATCGCATACAAAATACATAGCCTCGCGTGTTGTGACGCTTGTGAAATATCGACTCGACAATAGTCGAGCATCATGGTGGAAAATTTGTGAAAAGAGCGGTAAACGATTATGCATCCATGTCACATTTACCAGGATAAAGTGGACCTCGGACGAATCAACGGCTTTCCTTTTACCGCCATTGCCAACAAATGACCAAAGGCATACTTTTTTTTTAATTTAAAGTCGTATTCACATAAGAATATCCGACTACTTTGTATTCCCAGCCAGCAATGTAGACCCAACATTAGCCGACAAAAAACGTAACCCAAACATCCACAGAGCCCAAAAAAATCGGCCATTTTGACCCTATGTCTTTTAGAATAACTATAATCAAAATCACATGAACAGTTCCCTTGTGGCTATTGTAGCAAAGTTAAGTCTTTTTATCCCACTCTCCAACATTTAAATTCACGTGCAGTCAATAATTCTGTTGTGCTATACTTTGCACGTGCTGCTGGCTTTGAAGATTAAAATTGGACATTTTCTAGAAGTAGAAAAAAAAAACAACATTCTCTTTTCAGCTTATCCCAGAGTTAAGATTCCACTCATGCACAAATTATGGTTATACTTTGTATGTACAGTGACGCAGCAAAAGCCTCAGCCCCTCTAGCCCCACACCATAGTTATGCTTAGTTAGTTAGTTAACTAGTTAGTTAACTATTGCTTATTATGTAAGACCCTACCAGACGAATAATTTGCCTAAGATTCACCATCTGGCTGTGATAGCCTAGGTTTTATGCCGAAAATTACCCTGTTGAGTAGAAAATGACCTCAAAATTCTAGGGCAGATTCTTAATGCTTGAGATATTTTGGACGCCTCATAGCACTACCTAAGCGATCTTTTGGTAGATGGTAGAATCGATATATGGGTGGTGTGATGGGTCAATTTAACGGGATTCATAACCCTTTTTCTGCATCACTGCTGTAGAGATCAAGTTATGATGGTATTATAGCACGTGCATGCACCGGTAAATTGCTCTGCCGCTGTCGTCTCCGCAAACGGGACGGGCCGCACCGCCATGTGGATACTGCCCCCCTAAGAAGTACCGCCTTTGGGGTATAAAGCGAACTCTCGCCCCCGGAACCGTTTCTCTTCCTTTTTTCCCCAGCTTCTCTTCGCCTCTGGCTAAGATCAAATGTAGTATCTGTTCTTTTCAGTTTAATCGCTGAAAGCCCTGCATTGCAGGACATCCCGATTATTCTAATCTTTGGACCTCGCGACTTGGCCTCTGTGCTTGCACACGCCTCGTTGCACTGTGTCACTGGGCTTACACTACCCCCGGTTGACGCGAACCCTCTCCCTTTTTTTCATCAATTACTTGGCTTGCCCGGGTACTTGGAGAAGAAACGATGGAAGTGTTTTCTTGAAGCACCATAGGCGTGCCTCTTGTTGACGCGCGATCACAACCTAGGTCTCTTGTCGACGCACTATGCAGCTATACCACCCAGCTATGTAGGTAGCTCTTGCAATTTCAAACAGTCTGCTATTCGTGTCCCTCCTCTTCGTGTCCCTCCTCTTCGTGTCCCTCCTCTTCGTGTCCCTCCTCTTCGTGTCCCTCCTCTTCGTGTCCCTCCTCTTCGTGTCCCTCCTCTTCGTGTCCCTCCTCTTCGTGTCCCTCCTCTTCGTGTCCCTCCTCTTCGTGTCTCGCCTCTTTGCGACCCTCCTCTTTTTGTCTCTTCGGAGCATCAGCAAACCTCTTCTCGACACAAGAAGCTTATCCAATTCGACCCATATCCCAGTACACTTTTTCGTGTGATCTCGCCAGCAATCTGTGACATAAGGGGCCAGAAAGTGGCTTCTTCAAAATGGCAAGATTTCTTCTTCTAGTTGGGCTCACAGAGCTTCTCCCAGTTCTGACTAGTGGGAAAAAACTTAGCTTCGTGGCCCAGAGCACTCAGGTGCGCTTTCGACACTGCGACCCTAGTCTTTTGGGCCTTTACCGGCAAAAACTCTTAGCAAGCTTGCAAAACCTCAATGGCTACGAAGAACCTCATACATCTTGACACCACCTCTTTCGTGCCTTCAAACTCCAATTCATCCATTCCTCAAGCCCTACATCGACATCGCGCCGGCCACTTACGTCGCTTATCAGAGTCTTCTTCGAACGTTCGCCGCTCATACCCACAACGCCGATTCTGTGAATTTCCGTAACTCCGGCCTATCATCTTGCCCCAACACCAATACTGAGAAGGAGCGGAGTCTTTCACTCTTTATTACGTTGTCGGGTCCAGCGCCAGTCCAAACATCCAGGATTACAATAGGTTGTTCCCAGCAGAGTAGCCTGAACATGCAGATCGCAATCCAATGCAAAAGGGGTTGTCAATTGACAGAAATGATCTAGCTCCCTTCCTAAACGGCGCGGTAATCGTCAGGTTGTCAGGTTGTCAGGTTGTCAGGTTGTCAGGCGGTCAGGCGGTTTTTTTCTAGTTGCTTCTAGGACAGTGACTACGCAAGTGTCAACACCTCTAGCCCCTTTGTCATCGTGAATCAATTCAGAGCTTCATAAAACTGCTTAGATCCCAAACAATTGAATTCAGAGAGAGTTCTTCCTTCTTCTAGCATTCGATTACCAACTACGTATCTAACGGTGTTTCCTGGCGACACGTTCTCGGAAATTTTATCCTATTTGACACCCAAGATTCCTTAACCACAAGGATTTCTACGTTTTTAATAGTGAAGTGTTAATCTTGATGAGTTCAGGTATGTGGAGAACCTAGCTCTCTCAACTCTTTCATCAATTCAGATTGCACCACGCACTGCAGCCAGTCTCTCACATTCTCTCCTACAAAAATGTCTTTTCATTGTCATTATTGTTAATTTGGAGCTAAACACTCCGATGTCATTTTGGATATCTTGAATGCCTCCTCCCTGCGAATACGAGCGGGGTGGTTGCACGTGCCACTTCCGTCCCGTCCCGTCCCGCCCCGTTTCCGCCCGGCATCCCGAACTGCATTCTGCCTACCGCTAGCTCCTGTCCGCCACCGCCCTGGCAGAGCCGCACCCCCTCCGAGTTATAAAGCGACAAAAGGCTAGGAAGATGAGAAAGCGGTCAAAAATGGAAAACGTACCCAGGACTCTTCCATGTGCATATAACCAAGCACCTATGCATTGTGGAACAGGTTCATCCCGTGAATACAGGCGCTACTAGTAAGATAGTCATTCCATGGCCTATAGCTGAGACTAGACTAAGGTATGTGAATTTTGTGTAGGCTACACAGGGGATACCATGATAATTCACACAGACAATAAAAAAAAGTCTACCTAAATCCCTTTTTAATAGGGTGTCCAAACAGCATTTCTATACACAACCGTGTGAAGCACACCAGCACCACACTGCCCTTTGTTGGTGTATCCTAGTAGGTACAGAACTCTCATCAAGACTAAAATCTAGAAATCAAGTACATTTTGTATGACTGGCCTGTGCAAAAGTTGCTTACCAATTCCACAAGGGGAACAGGGATTAAGATAACAGTGGCTGGGTGTATGTGGGAAGGTTGCTTTTTAGAATAGCATATCAAAGCACGACTGCGAGCATGCCATGAAGTAGATTTGTGCAAAGGCAATAGTGGAATATATCGGAAAAACTGCAAAGCTGTCTACCACAATCGTACAAGGATCAGCAGACGATATTTATGGCCTTCTGTACCACCTCTGTTTATGAAATCTTCCTTTGTTTCGTTGTGAAATGATCAATGAGAAGGATAGCAATGCTAGATTTCTTTGAAGTAGCCTAAACAGAGATTTCTGCCTACAATCAAACACGAAGCAACCTATAAGTAGAGAGAACGCTGCAAGCGAATTGCATCGGTGGTTTTGGTCTTTCTCATATCGCTGCGATAGATAATCTGTCTTCTTGGCAAGCCCCAGGCTATGAAGGTTAGCCTTAAGATCTCGATTCGATGTTGATCAATATTGCAATCTACTGGTATTATCCCCCGTTGTGTAAAGATTAAACTAGTCTAAGTGGACAGAAATCCGTTGTCAAGCCTGCGCGAGACTTACAATGGGCAATATGCATATACCCATGCCTAGATTACAACGTGGGTGGCATGTGCTTGTCACGTCCCTATCTAGGAGCGCGTGTCAATTCGGGAGTGCCTGCCTGGCTACCTATTCGGGGCTACGCGCCGGTCACTGGCGCGTCCTTGAGAGCAAATACTGCCTGATGTCCCGCCCCGCTCGCACCGCCTCTGAGGTATAAATTGAGGCCTCCCCCCCCGGAACCTCTTCTTCTTCTTTTTCCTCTCAGCACCCACCTCCCCCAATCTCCCTCCCGACTCACAGGATGCTCTGACCGATTGCCAGGAACAGCTTCCCCTGGCCCATCAGCAGAGCTTCCTGTTCTCAGTATTCTTTGGACCTCGCGACTTGGCCTCTGTGCTTGCACACGCCTCGTTGCACCGTGTCACTGGGCTTACACTACCCCCGGTTGACGCCACTCCTTTTTTCATCAATCATTCGGCATGTCCGAGTGTTTGGAGAAGAAAGTTTCTTGGATTCCATAGTCGAATCTCTCTAATATTAGCTTCCTATCTGTTTCAATCTCTCCAATCCACTTGCATTGCACCATACACTTTGTACTCTCCCCCATGGAAAACCTCTCCTAGGAAAGTTTCTGCTTGCTTCTTGGTAGTTGTTAAATTCTGTATTTTCATCTACAATGTCAACGTCAAATCGTGCATCTTGACATCTCTGTAGAACTAACTTGAACACATAAACTTCTTTCTAGATATTTTCATATGCTACCTCTACTCTTTATGTTACATTTAGAATAAAAGGAACTTGTGCAGTTGATAAAAGACTCATCATATGTATGTAGACGGAGTTTGGGTGTGACGTCCAGAGAGGACACCCCTTTTCCGAATACGAATACGAGTACGAGCGGAGGTGGATGAGCGCTCCTGTTCCGCCCGGCATCCCGACCTGGATTCCGTCCGTTGGGCAGAGCGGCACCGCCTCGGAGTTGCTAAGCGACATCTCGGACCTCGGGATCTCTTCCTCTTATTTCGACTGGTCTCGGTGTTCGGTGAAGCTATTGCTTAATCCCCCCTTTGGTCGCATTATTGTTGCGGGGTTCCCCAAAGTTCAACAGAGATACTGTGCTGTCTCATCTCTACGTTTACATGGCTCCCAAACTTTTGATATGATCTTCAGGATATTCTGGGGAATAATTTTCTAGGATATCCTGGTTTCGATCTCCATGTCTCTTTGCTTGATCTCATCTTCCAGGACTCAGGGGTCGCGTGATGCACGGCATCTGGTTTCTGCGCATGGGGGCGTTCCACCCCTGATCGGAGTGAAACTTTTTTTGGTAATCTAATTTGCCTGGTTGTTTGAAACAATCTATTCTTCTAAGTCGCTACAGTCGCTACAGTCGCACCCTGAATCTACACTTCACTCTGACCCACTTAGTCGATTGGGACTATTCCCCACCTGGTCGCAATGGTCGCCCGTAGGAGAATCCACGTGCCATTCCAACCCTGGCTCATCCTCTGTCTCTTCCATGGGCCATTTCAGTCTGAGAATTCTCTAGAAGTTCTTTCGATTCTTCGTGTGTTCTTTGTACCATGCTCCGAGCCAAGCGCCAAACCACTCAGCCTTTGGAGGATTCCTCTGTGGTCCCCGAAACCTTCACCGATGGCCTCCCACTCCCAAAGTTGATCGCTTTCGACCTGGACTATACGCTGTGGCCGTTCTGGGTTGACACCCATGTCAGCGCCCCTGTCAAGGCACGGGACAACAACTCCCGTGCAGTAGACCGGTATGAATCTTCAGATTGACACTTGCTCCTTTTGAAACCACTCCGATTTCTAACCCCGCATTCCTTATCTCAAATAGATGGGGAGAGTCATTCGCCTTCTATCCGGCAGTCTCGTCTATAGTCTACGCCTGCAAACATCGGTCGATTCCACTGGCCCTTGCATCCCGAACCCAGGCCCCCGATCTGGCGCGCGACATGCTTAAATCCCTGCATATCATCCCAACATTCTCCGATAACCCCGCCGCGAACGCTAAGACCATCCGCGCGCTCGATTATTTCGATTTTATCCAGATCTACCCGGGAAATAAGACATCGCATTTCTCAAAAATTCAACAAACCAGCAATGTTGCTTACGAGGATATGCTGTTTTTCGATGATGAGGCGCGGAACCGGAACGTGGAGACGGAGTTGGGGGTCACATTTTGCTTGGTACGCGATGGGATTACCAGGGAGGAGGTCGACCGGGGTGTTAGAGCTTGGAGAAAGCGTAAAGGTATCAAGTCAGAGACTGCAGAAGAATCATGAGGGTCCTTGGTTGTCTTACCTGGTGGTTCCTACGATGGGGTAGGTTGCGCTTCAGACTAGATTTTGGATTTTAGATACCCAGGCTTGGAATATATGACGGAACAATTTTCCTATGCTTTAACAGAAATCCTCCGATGTCAATTTGGATCGAGTATCATTTGAAATTACCTCGCATACTTCGATCTATCCATTGCCAGGCTTTTTATCGAGCTGACTAAGTGACGTACTCCAAAACAGGAACATCTTGCTGTCATCGATCTCCCCAAACACACCTACAAACCATCAAAATGGCGACCCTTAAACCTCCAACAAATACCCATCGCTCCTCATCCTCCCACAGCCCCAGCCCACCAAAAGCTCCCCTCAAAGCGGACCCAACAGCCACAATCGCTGACACTGTCGTCTTTCAAGGCCGACACCTCGTCACCATCGGCGCAGGGACAGTGATCCACCCGCGCGCAAAATTTTACGCATACGAAGGCCCCATCGTTGTCGAAGATGGCTGTATAATCTGCGAGAAAGCGGTAATTGGCGCTCCGCCGAGTTCATCCCACTCACCGGCACCGTCCAGACCAGCAAGCACAACACCTACCGAGTCTGGGGCGTCCACGCCCGAGCCTAGGAAAGAGACAACAACACGGATCTCATACTTCGTTACTGTCGGCCCGTTGGCGACCGTCGAACCCGGTGCTAACATTCATTCTTCTGCTACGATTGAGGCTCTGGCGACTATTCGTCGGGGCGCTGACATTGGTGCGCACTCGAAGGTGTGTTCCGGGTGTGAAGTTATCGCCGGTGGATCTGTCGCCGAGTGGGTTGTTGTATATGGGCGGGGTCCGGGAATGCGGAGGAAGAGAGCTCGTGATCTGAAGGGGATGAGTCCGGCTGTTGTGAGTGCAGCGCAGGTTTCCCAGACGGCTCTACCTAGTCCTGCGCCGGCGGGTAAGGTTATCGAGGATGCGAGGTTGATGGTTTTGCAGAAGGAGAGGGAGGTGCTTGGGAGGATGCTTGTTCCTGCCGCTGGGGGGAAGAAGAGATGATTTCAAGCAGCTTTCTTGTCGATGTTCTTTTTTGTTTTGGATTTGCGTTCTGTGTCGGAACAAATTTCTTTCTTGGATAGATTCATGTCTTCTAGCAGCTTATACCCCGGTTTTCGTTTACAGTGGTTAGTCTATTGCGAGTGTTTACAATCATAACGCACAAAATACCTTGCAATTGAACTCTAGTGTCAATTGGGAGTGGGAATAGAAACCTGTAGGAACGCCGCCACACATTCAGTAGATACAAGACAAGAGAAACAGGACTGCTTTCTGAGTAGCAGTATAAAAACATAAGAAGCAATGCGCCAGATGGCATAAACAGACAGAGAAACCCGTTCGTGAACGCGTCCACGCCGCAGTTGTCAATGAAATTGATAATACATGAATGAGATTCAAAAACACGAACGACGATTGCTGTTTAAGAAGAGCCTCCGCCACGAGGCTGTGGGCCACCGCCGCCTCTCTGTCTCTTTCCGCCACTTCCACCATCAGGGGCAGTGTCAGGGCCATCATCACGGGAGCGCTTGTTACCCCCGGGAATGAACTGACGGGCCGAAGCATTCAGGTTCCCACGATTGGCCGTGGGGCTCTGAGCTTGGGCGACGTTATTTTGATTTTGGGTACCACCGCGGCCTTGTCCACCACGACCACCACGACCTCGCTGAACACCTGGGCCACGCTGGGTTTGGCCCTGGACGTGACCTTGCTGCTGTTGTTGTTCATGTTGTTGATGGCCGAATTGCTGACCACCGCCACGTCCGCCACGTCCGCCTCGTGCAATAGGAAGCCCAGATTGAAGAGCCCGCATCAGTCCAGGTGGGTTTCCAGCGGGGGGTTTGCTGGGGAGAGAAGAGGCTTGCTTGTTTTGATCGGTTTGCTGAACTTGGCCGAACGGATTGGCTGGCGCTGCGAGCTGTGCCTCGCCTTGCTGGGGGGCAGCAGCTTCGGGAGTCGCAGTGAGAGACGCAACTTGCTCCGTTGGAACATTCGGGGTTGCTACCACAGGAATAGAGGCAGGCGTAGGTGCCGGAGCAGGAACCGGGACCGAAGGAGCTGTAGCTGGGACTTGCGGAGCAGCTAGAGTTGGAGCGGTAGCTATGGGTTGGACTGGGATTGGTGCTGGCACAGGTGGCTTAGCAGCCGGAACCGCGACCGGTGCAGGCCGAGCAGTCTTTGCAATTTCCCATACTTCCACAACGGGCTTTTGCGGAGTTTCCGTAGCAGCCTTTGATACAACATCAATCTTCGCATTCGCAGTTCGAAATCTGGTGTCAAGCATGCTGAGACGGGCAGCTGTTTTCTTTTCGACAAGTTCGACTGCTGAGCTAACCTTCTCCTTGACTTCGTTTTCATGAGCCTTGACCAAGGCTTCCCTTTCCTCGGCCGACTTCTGTTGCAGTTCGGCCAATGCGGCTTCATTGGCACCGGAGGAGGCTTGGGCTTCTTGTTGGAGCTTTTGTTGCTCGCGCGCTACTCCGCCGCGAATGTTGTTTCGGACGATTGTGCGAATAGTCTCGTGCTTCGCGACCAGCTCTCTTGCTTGAGCATCTGTCAACTCGGGAATAGCAAATCCGGCAAGCTCAATCGTCTTCGATGGCGTTGCAGGGGTTGCATCTGGGCCCGCACCTGGTGTTCCGGGTATGGATCGTTCACCAGCGGATAGTTTCTCAATTTCTTGACGATGGGCAGCCTTGACCTCGTTCAACTTAGAGTTGTACATATCCTTAAGGCGGTCGGCACGTTCCTTGATCTTTGCATCTTGTTCGCTGGCCTGTGTCGCCAGAAGTCCATCCTTCTCAGCAAGAGCCGCCTCGAGTCGCTGGATCTTCTGCTCAAGGGCTTGTATCTTTTGAGCTTCAGCAGGACTAAGGATTTCGACGGTCGCATTTGGGAATTGTGAAGCCGGTGTAGCGTTGGTAGGGGCCTCTTCCACAGCTGTGGCTGCGGCTGCAACAGGAGCATATGTCACATTGGCTGGCGTCTCTACCCCCTTGGTTTTCAATGCCTCCAATTCGCTCTTTGTAGTCTGAAGTTCTGCTTGTATAACCTCTTTCTCCTGCAATACCACATTGAGCTCATCTTGCTTGGCCTTGACACGTGCACTAAGGTCCTTAGAGCGTGCCTTGAACTGTTCTGTGAGCTTAGATCGCAAATCTTGTGCACGTTCATCGGAATGCTGCTTGAGCTGTTCTGGAAACTCGGCGATTTGAGCCTGAAGTGCATCAACCTGAGTTTGGAGAGCTTCTCGATCGGACGCAGCCTTGGTATTTTCGGTCTCAAGGCTCGCAAGCTTCTCCTTCAGTTCTTGCATTTCAGTCGGATCAACACGGTCGTATTTTTGAAGGATGTTCTGAATACGCTGTTGGTATCGATCGCGATCAGCCTGTAGAAGCTGCATTTCCCCATCCTTGGCTTCAATCTGGCTCTCCAGCTCGTGGATCCTGGTCTTGAGGGGTTCGATCTCCTGAACCAGCTCGTTCTCGCGGGCGATCTTTTGGTCACGCACGGCTTCAGTTTGTTTCAGTTGGTTTCTGAGAGTAGCGTTGCTTTCACGGAAAACGTTGAGCTCGTTGATAGTCTCCAACAGCTTGCTGTGATTCAACGCGTTATGATCGCTGTCAGCTGCAGCACGACGCTGCTGCTCAAGCTTCAGGCGGGTCTCATCGAGCTGAGACTGAGTGTAGTCGAGTTGCTGGTTGAGTCGTTTGCTTTCCTGGGTGGAAAGGTGGTATTGAACCTCGACAATTTCTTTCTCGCGACGCAAGAACTTGATAACCTCCTGGAGGCCCTCAAGATTGGGCGCTGCCTGTTCTCCCTCTTGCTCGTCGTCCGAAACATTCATTCGGTCTCGTTGCAAGGACGAAATCTGGCTGGTAATATTTTCGAGCTGGGTGTGAAGTACAGAGTTCTGGTGAAGAACCTCCTCCCGACGCTTCCGCAGTTCAGACAGCTCACCTTCGTATGTGGCTCGTTGCTCCGCCCAGCTTTCCTCTTTCTGGCACAGATCCGTTTTGTAGCCTTCGGATTGGGTTCGCAGCTCGGCGATATCGAGCTTGAGCTGGTTGCTCTCTGCACGAACTACTTGCAAATTCTTCGCTGCCTCAGCGTGCTTGACAAGCTCGGCCTCGTAGTTCTGTTGGGCATGCTTGGCGATTTCAGCTTGCGCATTCAGGTCCTCCTGATGGTACTGTGCAGCAGTGACATATCGTTCATTGTCGGCCTTGAGACGAGTTATTTCTGACTCGAAGTTGGCCTTCTGCTCTTCCAGGTGGCGTGTTGCCTCCGCTTGCTCTTCGCGGAGCTTGGTCATTTCAGTGTTGGAGGCGGACAACTCAGCTGAGATCTCTTCAATGCGAGTTTCGAGGTCGTGAATCTTAACGTTCTTCTCCTCCACAAGACGATCGGTCTCTTCACGATATTGCTCCTGTGTCTCGGTGGCGGACTCCAAACGTTCTTCACTAGCTTGGCTGATGGCCTGGTAATCTTCAGCTAGTTGCTTGGCATGTTCTAGTTCACCCTTTGCCAATTCCAGGTCTCGTTTCAGTTCGGAAACTTCAATTGAAAGTTCCTGCTCGCGGGAAAGACCACTTCCCTCACCGGACTCCTGACCCTCGGCAAGTCCCTCGGTGGTACCAGCAGACACGCTTGATCTCAAGTTCAAGACCTGTAGACGCTCTTCGGCACTCTTAAGCTCCACTGCAAGCTCATCCACACGGGACTGTAGGTGATCCCGCGTGGTCTTGGCGGCAACTAGCTCTTCGCGAACTGCACTCAAGCTGGTGACCAAGTCATCAATTCGCTTTTGTGATGTCTCCTGCTCATACTCACGGCGCATGCTAGCCTTCTTGGATTCCTCGACTTCATCGTTGAGCTTGCGCTTTGTTGACTGCAGCTCGGTTTCGAGTGACTCGACGCTAGCTTGGAGTCGGCGTCGGCTCTCGGAGTCGGTATGCTCACGCTCGTTGAGAATGGTCTGAAGGTTTGCGTTCAATGAGTCCAAACGACTGCGCTCATTCCGCAAATTCTCGGTATCATCAATGAGCCTCTTCTCAATATTCTTCCAAAGGTCCTTCTCGGCCTTCAGGTTGGCATTTTCTCTCTGAAGGCTCTCAACAAGACCCTTAGCCTCCACGAGGTCTTCAGCAGCTTGCTGAGTGCGCAGATCCTGTCGGTTTGCATTTTCAAAGAGGGCAGAGTAGCGCTTTTGGATCTCAGAGTTCTCATTCTTGAGCATATTGAAGTTACTTTGCAAAAGCTCTGCACGTTGGGAAGCAGCAGCAAGTTGGCTGCTTGACCGACTTATGTCAGACATAAGCTCACTGTTCTTGCGCGACAGCTCATTGACCTGCTGCCGCAATGCTTTGTGGTCCGTCGTCGTTTCTTCACGGAAAGTATCGAAATGGGCTTGAACCTTTCGGAGCAACTCAGCGTAGTCGGGTCCTGATGTTTCCATAGCTCCCTGAGGAGCAGCACCAAGAGGCATGGATTGTGAGAAGACAGACTGATCGTCCACGGTTGGCTTTCTGTGCATGAGCATACTGCGGAATGTGTCACGCTCCTTGACATAACTCTGCATCTGTGCGCTGAGGTTCGCAATCTCATCACGGTTTGTCTGCGCACGGATCCGCAGCTCCTTTAACTCATCGATTTCTGCACGTCGCGTTGCTTCTTTCGCTTGGGCCTCTTCACCTTCCTGCTTGTCACCAAGTTCTCTCAACATACGTCGGAGAGTATGGTTCTGATCCTGGAGTTCGTGAAGATCTTTGAAAGTCGTGAGGTGCTTGCTGATAAAGCGGCCAGTTTCGTTGAGATCCTTTGATGAATCTTCCACTTCGCCCCGAGCGATTCTCTCGAGCTCCTCTCGATCGTATTCTTCTCCATGTTTTGCGACAGCAACTTCAAGGACGAGTACCTTGACTTCCGCACTCAGATCGCGAAGTTGTTGGCGTAGAATGTCACCCTCACGAGCCAAGCCCTCCACTTGACCTTGCCATTTCCTGGCTTCCTTAAGGGCGGCATCCCGTTCCTTCCCAGCCGCTTCGAGGAGGGTAGACATCTCCACAACAGCGTGGTCGAGACGGGCTTGTTCTGCTCGTCCCTCCTCTATTTCTGGTCTGGTTGAATCAAGTTCCAGAACCATTTCGTCAACAGTATTGCGGAGTTCCTGGCAAGTTCTCTGCTCAGCTGCAAGAGCGGTGCGCATTCTGTCGTACTCGGAGTACATCTGGGTGACATTCATACCACCCTTACCACGAGACGCGCGGGGGGAGAAGGAGCCAGTAGGAGTCCCAGCACGCATGACGCTTGTTCGTAGTGGGGTACTTGGTGCACCTCCATTAAGAGAGACAGCAGGGCTGGCCGATCTTCCTCTAACAGGTTCAGACTCAAGCTGGGCAACAAGTGCCTCGAGCTCACCAATCCGGCGCTCAGCGGCTCCCTTGTCATTGGATTCCGTCTCAAGTTCCACGCGGAGGCGCGATATCTCCTGCGCTGCGTCATCCTTTGTCTTTTCGAGCGCAAGTTGGCATTCCTGCACCCGTTGCTTGGCCGTCTGAGCAGCAGATCCCTGTAGCTCGGCCAATCTATTGGAGCTGTCAAGTTCGATGCGGAAGGATTCGGTTGCCTGAATAGCTTCCTCTTTCAACTGATGAATGCTAGCCAGAGAGGTTTCGTATCGCTGCTCTGTTTCGTCCAAGCGACTCTTGAGCGAGTTCTCACTCCGGCGAAGAGAATCAATTGTCGAGTTGGCTTCTTCGTTCTCTCGCTGAAGCTCAGATATCCGAGCGCCTTTTTCTTTGCGGAACTTGATGTATTCGGCGGATTTTGTCTTAAGTTCTGTCTCAAACCATTCGTTGTTCTTTTTCGTGAGGTCCAGTTCTTGTTGAAGGCTCTGCTCGCGGAAGCGGGCGCTGGCGGATGCCGCGTTGGCACTTTGGAGATTCTGCTCCGCGGTGGATAGTTCACGTCGCAGTTCGATGGTCTTCTTGTGCTGAAGCGAGAGCTCCTCAGCTAATTTATCATAGGCCGCAGATTTCGATTCGAGCAAGCCCAGTGTGTCTCTATTGGATGCCTCCAGAGATGAGATACGCGCTTTCAAGGATGTGGTTTCGGATTCGTTGGACGTGGACGAGGATTTCAGTGCAGATATCTCCGTCTCGAGTGAGGCACGGGTAGTGTCTATTCGATGTTAGAAAGAGAGTCCGTCAGAATGAACCAAAATTTGGATACCAGCTTCGTGCAGCTTTTTCCTCAGCTCTGCGACTTCTGCGTGTCCCTTCTCCACGCTAGCTTTCAGAACCTTGACCTTCGACTCATTGCTACGCACAGAATTCTCAAGCTCTACCTCCAAGCGAAGCTTGTCGGACTTGAGCTCATCAGATTCGTGAGCCTTTTTATTGATTGATTGTAAAAGTTGATTGACAAGCTCCACAGTTGGGGCCTGCCTTAAGGTCGTGAGCGTCGATTCGGGGAGCGCATAGTGAGATGATATGTAAGGTATTTGAATGGCAGTTTCAGCCATATTGTCGAACGAGCAACAGCACAGGGCTGTCGTGACAAATAAATCAAGAAAATCAAGTACGAGCGGCGCAAGTTAGAGCTGGGTCCTTGAGGACGGGCGCGCCGTGTACTGTTCACAGACAAGTACACACAGCGCTAGGCGAGGGACTTCAGGTCATGACGGTGTGAACAAAGGAAAGACGTGTCTTCTGAGGGAAGAAGACAAAAAATTGAATGAAATGGTAATTGGAAGAAACAGTGGTGAGGTGACTTCAAGGGCGTCCGAGATCCATTTCCGCGCTTTGGGTTGCTGAGCTTCGACACGTGACATTCTTTGTATGGCCTTCAATCTTTTTATAGCCACTGGAAGCTTTAACCTCTTGACTAGGCTGTTCTCATTCTGTACGCCACCATCATCGGGTGTATTCTCTTCTTTTCTTTCTGGAAACACCCACGGTACCTATGACAAGCACCGCTTGAACCCTCCAGCTTGATCTACGTCAAATCAAGTGGTTGCCATCTCAGCTCTATCTCACTCTTCTCTTGAGTCTCAGCGACCTCGGATCCTTCATTGCAACCATGTCATACCTTCAAAATCAGCTTAAAAGCTTTAATGCTAGTGTCGTGGAATCGGCAAATCGTATGCCCACGCAGCGACGTGTGGTCAGTAACCAACCGATCTCTGCCAGCAGTTCCCAAGTCCCATCGTCCGCACCGACCCCATCATCGTCTACCGAGATGAAGAAGAGGCGTCATGATCCGGACATTGTCTACTCACAGCCAGCCAACACAGGCACGGGCAAAGACATTATGACGCAAGTGCTGTTTGCGATCGAACACATGAAGAACAAGAACATTCCGCTCAGATTTTCGGATATCATCTCATACCTCTCCCTTCAGCATCGTGCTCATGACCAGGGCTACGTGCAGGCTCTTCGGAGCATTCTGCAGATGCACGAGAAGGTTGAATTTGACCCGAGCGGCGCGAACGGGGAAGGCACATTCAGGTTCCGCCCACCTCACAACATTCGAAACTCAGAGCAACTCCTGAAACACCTCCAAGCCCAGAAGACTGCGGCGGGTATGAGTGTTCGTGAACTAAGGGAGGGCTGGCCTACCGTCGAGGAGGAAATCAACCAAATGGAGACGGAGGGAAAACTACTCGTGACTCGCAACAAGAAGGATGACCATCCTAAAATGGTGTGGCCTAACGACCCGTCCCTAATCGAACACTTTGACGATGAGTTCAAGCAGATTTGGGACAAGATCAAAGTTCCGGATGCGAACATAGTGAAGGAAGAATTGGATAAGTTTGGCATCACGCCCACCAACAAGAACAAGGTGCTCGGCCCTCGGGTCATTGCCCCATCTAAGAAATCCAAGAAGCCACGCCGAAGTGGAAAGACAACCAACACTCACATGACGAGCATTCTCCGAGACTACTCGCACCTTAAGCGTTGAGTGCATCGAGTTCGAAATGGTTTCTTTTTGCACGTTGACACACCAGAAATTGCTTTGACACAATCATTGCTTTGCATTGCATCGGCGTTTTAGGAAAAAAGCATGCTGCCTCATTGTCGCCGCATGGAAACTCGTTCACTCATCTTACATTTGCTTCGACAGCATTGAAATTTGTACACTACACGCAGAAAATGATAGATACCCAAACAAACAACTTAATCAATCACTACATAGCTACATGGCTACATATCTACCTCTATATGTAATTTCCTGCACGTAGCCAGTCAGTCTAGCACCTCTTTACGCCTGTACCCCTATGCCCGGAAGACACAACTCCATCCATATTTGCATCAATTCATCTATAAAAAGGTATCCAAGAGAAGGCGTAGTGATGTACAAGGTACCCCAAAACACAACCCAACAAAAGCGATCTGAATATCAAATCCCTGCCCCAAGATCAAATACAAGTCCACGGGTCAATGCTTCCCATTGGTAGCAGCACCAGTACCCTCAACATGATTCAAATAAACCACCAAGTCTTCAATAGTACACACCTTAATACCCCACTTCTTTCCAAATCGCAAACATCCATCCCGGCGCATCATACCATTATTCCCCCCAATCTCCGCAATGCCCTCAACAAGCTCGCCATCTTCAACAAGCTCAGCAATGACACCAGCCGGCGCCTTACCAGCGAGTTTACAAAAATCGACCGCAGCCTCAGTGTGGCCTGATCGCTCGCGCACGCCGCCAGGCCGCGCCTGCAGCGGGATGATGTGGCCCGGCCGGCGGAAGGAGTCGATCTCCGCGGCGGGTGAGGCAAGCGTGCGGCATGTCAGTGCGCGGTCCTCGGCGGATATTCCTGTCGTTACAGAGTCGTCGCTTGAGTCGATTGTGACTGTGTAGGCCGTGCACTTCGGGTCGGCGTTCTCGGTTACCATTTGTGGGAGCGCGAGGCGGGTGGCAAGGTCCGGGGTGATCGGGGCGCATATCAAACCACTATGTTTTGGAGTTGTTAGCGAGGTTTTCTGTCGTTGGATTTGGATTGGCGCATTTGGCTTTGTGGGTGTGCTGTTGCGGGGAGGGAGGACGGGGGCTTGCGGCTTTTGTAGCCGTTTCTCATCGCTGTCTTGGGTGGTGCTCGTACCTAGTATAGCGCACCAGAAAGGCCATCTGGGCGGCTGTGATGGATTCGGCAGCGATGATTAAGTCACCTTCATTTTCGCGGTCTTGCGAATCGAGGACAATGATGAATTCGCCATTCTCTGTAGGTCTTCGTCAGTTGTTTGGTTGGGTCAGTAGGCGCAGTGAGTGGCTGGATGCTCTTGGGGATGAATTGATTCCCTATCGAAGATCACTTACTAAATGCTGCAATCGTATCTTCAATTGAGTCGAACTGGTGTGCGATTTCTGAGGTTGAAGGCATTTTGTGTTCTTTTTTGCCCCTCACTGCGGAACTTCAAGGATGAATGGTTTTGAATGGATGGTGATTCGGGAGATACAAGTGAGAAGGAGATGAAAAATTGATCAATGCGAATACTCAAATTGTTCTAGCACCAAGAAACAAGAAGAAGATGAGAGATTTGAGTCATTGGCTGACAAGAACATTAGAAATGCCCGTGGCATCGGCGCGGGGGAGCCGAAACGCGGACCTGGCGATTGCTAAGCCTCGGGAGACTTCAAAGGGACAACTCTGCCCCTCCATGCCCCCAAGGTCCGGACCTTTCGCTAGTTCCGAATTGACTGCTATGTGGTAGCATCTTCTATAAATTGCTACATAGATATAGGAAGATACTCATGTTTCAGATAATCCGACATGCTAGAACTTAGCAACCGAACGCAATTGATGAAAATAAACTATATCAACCAAGCCCTCGATTCCCCATCCATCGGACCTCATCCGCCTGCCTCTCAAGCGCACGTCGCATATAATCCCCATATCTCTGCTCCCTCTCCCAATCATCACGCCACCTATGTCGCATCTCTTCCCGTGTAGCTTCATCGACCTCCGCATGCATAAATACGTCATCGTCTTCATCAGCTTCTTTGCCATCGACCCCCATCTCAAAATCCGCAGGAATGGAAAATCTGAGACGGCCGATGCGCTCTCCAGTCCAGATAAGTAGCTCATCTCCAGTTAGATTCCCACCAGTAGGAAGAATCTTGCGAGCTACCTCGTTATTGCCCGGCGATTGAGAAGGCCAGAGCCCGCGCGGCTGCTGGTCTTCTTCTGTCTGCGAGGTTGCTTGTTTGCCGCGACGACTGAATGGGATGTGAGGTTGGGAAGCATTTATATTCCACCGTCGGACTTCTGAACGGCCGTTGCGCTCGGTCCACTTGATGTTCCCCTCGGCGTCGGAAAACACGATGCGATTTCCGTGCGACCCCACGGAAAGTAGTTTGGAACTTGCGGCGCTTTGGCGGTTTTTGTATTCTGGGTTGAGGGTGGATGTCGTTTTCGAGGGGCTGTGATCTTCGTCTGGTGCTGGTTTGAGATTATAAAGCTCTAGCGACCCTCGTCCGTTGTAGTCTCCACATGCCACAACGGAATGTGACTTGGGGTAGGTGGAGCCTGAGAAGACTGGGAATCGGGGCGCTGGTATAGAGGCAAGACCACATAGGCGGCCACCTGAGTGGACTGTGGTCTGTAGCCGAGGGAAGTAGCGGCGATCATAACATAGGATGCTGGGGAAGCGTCCCGCAAGAAGAATTGTGTTCACATGAGGAGCTGGCGGGTGCAGGATGGAAAGAGGGCCAGGTTGGAAAAGCGGTGCGTAGTTCGCTTCTTTATCTGAGGGTCCTGGACTGCGTAGGCGAGTAGGTGGCTGCCCATTGGATTGGAGTTGAAACAAGGGTGAGTCGGAGTGGGCAAAGATACCCAGTGCGGGGACGTTTGGGCTGGCGACCCGCTCGCATCGCGAGCTGATTGCCTCTTCTTCCTCGACGGCCGACAATCTGGAGTCATAGATCTGCAGACTAAGTGTCGTGGCTAGTGTAAACGGCACTGAGTAATCTGTCTCCTGGGAAAGGGCGAAAATTGACCAGGGATAGCGCTGTTGCGAAATCACTTTTAATGTCTCCAAATCCACTTCATTAAGGACGTTCCCAACTGCTAGGTAGGCTCTTTGTCGCAGAGAATCCACGCTCACTCCCTCGCCTAGGTTTATAAATTCCAACGAAGTCTTGGAAGGGGAAGGATCCCGACGACCAGACAGGTTGGTAATGAGAATACCGGCTTTACTGACCCCAAGGATATTGCCTTTACTTGCTTGAGAGGCAGCCGAGTGCGAATGATTCAGATCCCACACGCAGACGCTGCCATCTTCAAGCGGGGCAATAATCTTGTTCTTCCTGGCTGAACTCCAGTCTTTGAGCAGCCCCATCCCTTTGACCTCATAGGACTCCCCTCGTTTTCCTTCGCCCTTGCGGACCGAGGGCTGCTCAACCCATGATAACGATATGGGCCCGTGGCGAGCAATGTATTCTGAATACCAGTCAACATGCTCGCCCTCAGCCGATGAGTCCCATTCTGCTGCCGCTCTCGCCCTCTCACCCCAAGACAGTTCTCCGGTATCATCAGCGCCTCTGTTCGCCGGTGGGGCAGAAGGCCGAATTATATCGAGTAGCGATTCCTGCCCTAGGGTCGTCAACGAAACAGTCGCGTTGGCAATCACACTCTCCGATGGTCTGGCAGCGGATCGGGCAGCCTGTCGAGCAGCCCATGACTGCTCATGGCAGTGCAATCTCCATTTGTTATTATCACGAGCGATAGCAAGGAACTTTTTTGAAACGGATTGCAGTTGGACCTTTTCTCGTGGGGCGAGTTCTGATTATCGCAGGACTATCAGTTCACGGTCGAAACGGCGTGGGGAAGATCCGGGGCTTACGGTCGATGATCTTAGACAGAATCTCTACTGGCAGCTTATCCATGGAGAGAGATCAACACCATTGAGGGCAGCCTGAGGAGGGGAAGTCAGCCACCGGAATGTCAGCCTCCTGAACGAAATGCTAGACACTTTTTTTTGTCGGCTTTCTCCCCGCGATCTGCGCTCCAGGCCGTCACGTGGATTAAAGGCCTGGCACGAAGGACCGGACTATTTTTCAAACTGACTGAGGGCACATGTACTTTGTAAGTAAAAACTGGTGTTTCGTTCATTTAGTGATGAATGTGTGACGTTTGGAGGGGCACTACTGAGACACTGAGACAACTTCAGCGAACAGGCTCGGGAGGCTGTTCCGGTATGGTACCCACCGGGTTTTATAGAATCACTAGAGAGAAGTAGAGAATCTTCTGATGCATTCTACGGCACAGCCACCACGGAGCGTGGGAAGTGAACGAAAAATTTGTAGACAGGATTGTCCTATAGGTATTCGAGGTCGCTATCACATGTACTTTTCACATTCACTATATCACTGACACGGGAAAACGGACAGTTATCGAAGTGTCCATTGATGAAGCCATGGGCATCTTTATATACATAGGAATTATTGGATTAATCCGAGGTGTTCTTTTCCCATAGCCAAACTCCAACCCGGCCCAATCTCACCCACTATCCATCATTCATGACTCGTACATTTGAAAATAGATGAAGGCAAACGCGTAAAATAACCAAAGATGACAGCACACAGAGGCAGGGTAGGGACAGCATTACTCGTCCGGCCTAAAAACAGCGTCTTTGCAGAGGATAGCCACCTTTTTAAAGAAACGTCGCCATTCAAGAGGATCACCTTTGATTTTAACAAATTCCACTTCAAGTAATCCCTCTGAGACACACTCAATGAGCACTTTGCCCTGGAGTGGACACATCCTGCCATCCTTGGCAATCACCCGAATCATGGCTGAAGTATCTCCAGCACTAACAGCAGGGACACTCGGAACCGGAACTCCCAGTCGGTGAAATGCCTCGCAAATGAGAGGTACGAGGAGCTTGAGTTCCCACGCAGAATAGAAACGCGTCATTGAACGGGAGGGGATAATATCCTGGAACCTTTGTGCGTTTTGAGTTCGGCTCACAGGCACTGAAGGCTGTTGTGAGAACTGTGACATAGAGGGCTCATCCTCGAGGTGGCCTGCTATCGCTGCATCCTGAGAGGTAAACTCCTTCCCAAAGGGCTGGGTTGAAGAAAAGACACTAGCATTCTGTGGATTGTCCCAGTCCATCAACATGCCACCACCCAACATCTCTGGCTGCGTAGAGGAGAACCCTGTATTGGCACCGCCATCGTCACCGTCCATGTCCATGGGGTCAAAGCTGCGACTCGACCCCTTCCCTGATTGTGAGAGAGGATCTTGACTAAAGTCGATATGAAGCGATTCAAACATCGAGGTGGCCAAATTAATTGAATCTCGCAATTTGCCATCGATCGAAAGGTATCTGTTCGCACGGGTGTACCAAGGATGCCTTCGGACATCCTCCAGCGAAAATCGCTTTTGGGGGTCCACTGTCAACATGCCACGCAATAGTGATAATGTGGCGGGTGGTAACGTCTGCCAAAGCTCATCGGTAGTCCGCGCATTGGTCGCAACATATTCGTGGTACTCAAAGCTATCGTCTGTTGGGCTATCCCACGGTGTGTTACCGGCTAACAGGACGAACAGCACGATGCCACAGGACCAAATGTCAACTAGGTCCGGATGATACCCAGCTCCTTTCCTCTGCCCTCGGGTACTGCTGCTAATTACCTCGGGTGCAATATAGGGGGGACTGCCACAGAATGTGGTTGAGAGTTTTCGCGTTCCCTTGTATTCGAACAGTGCTGCCAAGCCAAAATCCGCGATTTTGAGATTCCCGTCGCCGGTCAAAAGCATGTTCTCGGGCTTGATATCACGGTGGCCGACGCCCTTGGAGTGCATAAAGCTCACAGCGCTGACAAGTTGCGAGAAATAGACATGGGCAACGTCCTCGCCCACACCCTCGTCGGCCTCGATCTTGTCGAAAAGATCCCCGCCTTCGGCCAACTCCATGGCGATCCAACGCCAAACCTCATCCTCGCCCGTTTGATAGAAGTTTATAATATTCCCATGACCCGAGACATGTCTGTGTACGGTGACTTCAAGTTGTAATTGCCTTGCGCTGATCTTCCCATGTCGCGCGGCGTAGTCTTTGTGAATGTACTTGACGGCGAAGACAGGATTATCTGCATCCAATGGGCAGGCTTTTTTGATGCTAGATGGACCGAATCAAGTTAGTTTAGGTTGGTCTCTTCCATGAATTTCGTTCTAACCATGCATAGGCACCCTGGCCGATAGTTTTAGACACGATGCGAAACGGCACGTCGTTCGGGAGCGGGGCCAGCTGCGAATGCTGCATTTTGAGGAAGGTCACAGAGGTTTTATGGGATTGAATTTAGAGGAGATACACGAAGGGGCAGGGAGCATTTTTGATTAAAAGGACACAACGAGTGGGAAACAAGATAGGCAAAGACGTCGCGTCGATGCAAGGGTAGCGAAACGCGGAATAAGACGCGCACCACTTTATCCTGATCGGGTAGTCTGTTGATAAAGGCACAATACAAAAGATACGGTGATGGATGGGATAGCTTCACTCTATCTTATAGGGATTACTGCTACTCTAAGCTATAGATACCACTGTACTATTTTCTATCATTGCACTAAATTCTATGCCAATAGTACCTTAAAACTGGAAGACCCGCAGTTGATTTATCGACTGTCGCACTAACGTTGCCAGATCAACTAGTTATTTAGTTATGTTTTAGATTAAGTATTTCCCTTGTTGCTTTTAGTTCACTCTGAGTTCAAATGTCCATCTTCGAGTAATAAAACATTCGAATGCAATTCCTTTCAAGACTAGAAGTGGCCTAAGTAAATTCACTTAAGCGGGGTTCGCGTTGCCCGGGGCGTCTAGGGTCCGAGTACACAAATCCTCTATTTTTCCGCTTCCTCTTTGTTCACTTCACACAATAACAACCCCCTTTCCACAATTCATCCATCTTTTCTCAAGTCTTCATTTCGTCAACTCACCCTGTGGGTCATTGTTACGAATCCGGCGTCATTCCACACCTCCGTGCTACTGTTACCAACATTCCACAAACCGGAATCTATAGACTTCTTACTATTCCTAAAGAGCCACGATTGCTTCACCTCCAGATTCACAATGGACTACAGCATGGAAGACACACAGAACTCGGCGCCCGAGGCGCAGCAAGCTAGCAAACTGAACTCCTCCGGTCAGAAAAGCGACACTCAGAGCGTGACCAAACGGTTCGTCCCCCTCGGCGCCTTCAAACAGCTCCACAATTCAGTTTGCTCTTTGTGATTGCATCTAGCTAACCTGATCTATATAGCCTGCAAGCCGAGCTGATGCAACTCATGCTCTCGCCCTCGCCCGGCATCTCCGCCTTCCCAGACGCAGACGGAAACCTCCTCTCTTGGACGGCGACCATCACCGGTCCGACCGAGACTCCCTACGAGGGTCTGACTCTGAAACTCTCCTTCGCATTCCCCAACAATTACCCCTACTCTCCACCAACAGTCTTGTTTAAGACTCCGATCTACCACCCCAACGTCGACTTCTCCGGCCGAATCTGCCTCGACATCCTCAAGGACAAGTGGAGCGCTGTCTACAACGTATCGAGCGTCTTGCTCAGCTTGCAAAGTTTGTTGGGTGAACCTAACAAGTCAGCATCCCCTCACATCCTCCATACCTTCCATCAGCGCTAACATTGATCTAGTGCGAGCCCCTTGAATGCCCAAGCAGCCGAGCTTTGGGACTCGGACCAGGCGGAATTCAAGCGCCACGTCCTCGCCCGGCACCAAGATCTGGACGAAGAATAGACTGTTGGATATGATATCTTTTTTTTTCGTCATTCTGCATCAGCGTCGGTTGACCCTGTCGTCCACTTCATGGGCGGTGGAATCGTGCTGCAAATGCATAACGGGCCTGGGTTGGGCCTGGGAGTTTCTAGTTTGCTTGGTTACGTCCTTTCCTATCTTTATTCCCTATTGTTACCATGATACTAGTAGTTCTGAACCTCCACATTCAGGCACAGGCGTGAGAAACTCTCGGTCTTGAGATCCTCGGGTGGTTCTCTCTCGTTTCATTTCTTCTGGACATTGCGCCCAGGGCTTTAGATCTATTCATTGTCGGTGTCGCTGTAGATCAATTTGATCTTGTACACTTTGCATCAATGCATGGGATAGATCTTGTGTGTGTGTGTGTGTGTTTCCTCCGTACAAGTGTAGACCACTTGCTTGTCCAGACTTCGACATTGTAAGCTCCGCAGGGGTACAAACGCAGGTGGGTTTTGCATCAATTCGAGGACATAGTCAGCCACTTGTGCATGCAACCGAAAATTCATGTGCGACCATGTCCCAGTACCCCCCACTTAGAGGTTCACAATTTCCTGGTTATGGATCGCAAAGCCTCCAACACATCTATACCTTTTACCGCCCTATGCATAGCAAAAAAAAATCTACCAGAAAAGGGGACCAAAGACCTCATGAGCAGCCGACTAATCTTACATAAAAGAATTAGAATTGACTCTGCCCGACATTTTGAAGTTGAAGCCATCAAGATTTGATATCCCTATGTACATACAAATAGTCAACTCAACCTGCGAAATCAAAGAAACGCCGCCCATTTTTAAGATTCACCTCCCAGGAAAAACTAAGTGGGAGTACTGAAGTACTGCTTCTCATTGGTAATCAACAAGCCAGCAACAGTCGCACTGGTGAAAGTACTGATTGCTCCAGTCACCATAGCACTGAATGCAACACGCGACACATCGTCGGCCCGACCAGGCGCGATCTGCGACAGGACACCGATTTGGTTTCCGAGGGAGCCGATATTAGCGAATCCACAGAGCGCGTATGTGACAATAAGACGAGAACGGTCAGAGAGGTCTTTGTACTCGGCATGGTGTTGGAGGGCGTCATAGGCGACGAATTCGTTCTGCAGCTGGTTAGAAGAGAAGATGGTGGTATGTGGGAATCGGGAACGTACGGTTACGAGCTTGGTACCAATCAACTTGCCAACCTTGAGCAGGTCACCGTCACGAGAGACGCCGAGCAGGAAGGCAATCGGGTAGCAGATGTATCCAACGATCAGCTCGAGGGTCAATGGGGGGTCGTTGATGTTCAGGTATCGACCCCACCAGGTGAGAAGGCCGTTAACTAGACCGATAAGAGCGATGATGCACAGGAGGGTCGATGTAATCATGGCAGCAATTTTCAGGCCGAGCCAGGTGCCGCTAGTGAATGCGTGGAGGGCATTCGCGGAGCGGTGCTCTTTGTCCTCGGGGACGACGACCCGGCCTGCAGTGAGGGTTTCCTCCTCTTCAGGCCAACGTAACTTGGAGACTGCTAGCGAAGCGGGAATACTCATGACACAGGCGCTGACCATTGCCTGCGGGTTGACACCGATACTTATATAGGCGATCAAGACACTTCCGGCGATGGTGGCGAAGCCGGAGCACATGACTTGGTGCAGCTCGGCCATGGTCAGGTGGGCGATGAAAGGACGGATCAGCATGGCTGATTCACCTTGGCCGATGAAGGGGGATGCGGCAGCGACAACGGCTTCGGCTCCGGAAACGCGCATGCTCCAGAAGAAGAAGACGGCGGCCTTGCCAATGAACCATTGCACGATGTTATAGTGGTACAAGAGCTGGACGAAAGCGACGAAGAAGATGATGGCGGAGTCCACGCCGACGATGAAGAATGACGCTGGTTTAAAGCCGTTGTTGAAGTTGTAGAAGTCCGCGCTGGTCAAGAAGATGACTCCGTCGGAGGCAAAGCCGAGCAGATCCGTGGCCAGGCCTGAGATGAAGTTGAAGATGTCGTAGCCTGTAGTAGTGCGGAGCACGAACAGAGCAATGATGAATTGTGCCAGCATGCCGACTATGACAGTGTGCCAGACGATCTTCTTGCGGTTTCGAGATGTGAGCCATAGCCCGAAGATGAAGACTAACATTCCGAACAGACTGACTGCACGGTTGGCACGGGTGTTATCCTGTGATTCTTTGGACACAAATGAGCCGACAAGAATCACACCAATACATAGTGCGGCGGCACTGGGTATTCTCATCTTCTCGGGAATCATGCGAACGAAAGGGTGAGCAGTGCGTTCCCAGACCCAGTGCATGGGCTTTGACACGATAGTGATGGGGACATAGAAGAAGAATATTCGCAAAGTGATGGCAAGATAGAGCAGGAATGGGATGAGCCATCCTATATCATGTCGATGTAATATCAGGCCGGCAATCCACCAGCTAGGCAGAAGAAGAGCATGCGTAAGTCTCGATTTGGGCCCAGGACATACAGTACCACTGTAATCGCAGTAGAGTGAAAGTAGTTCATAGTTCACTTACCCGGTAAACAAAAGCCAGACCACAGCATGGGCCATATGTCTCCATTGTTTTTTCACACGGCGATACCAGATGCGCTGGGCTGGGAAATTCTCGCCAGCTTCTGGATCATTGAAATTCTTGCTGCCGTGGTCCAGAGGTGTTTGTTCAGGTACGATTCCTTTCTCAAATTGGGCATCCTTGGAATAAACCACTTCATCCTGACGTCCCTGTTCGGCGAAGGCGGTATGGTGTTGATGAGCATGGTGATGCTGATTCTCTGGCTCCAGCGCAGGATCTATATGATGTACAACCTGCGATCTCGTAGCATCAGCTTCCTGGGTCACATCCATCACGCTTCCAGTGCGATGGCAGGCTCGAATGTTGGCGGGTACAAAAAGTACAGGTGCCTGTGACAAAATTTACAATCGAGAGAGAAACCAAAAAAGTTCTGCGAAATTCAGACCGCCTGAGACGGTTTCACCTGCGAGGAAACTTGGATTTTTATAATAAAACATGGGCACAGGATTAATTAGGTATCTCCCTTAGGTAAAAAAAAATTTTTTTTTAGCCTCTAATCCCGCTGCTTATTTTTTTTAAATTTTTTTCATATACAATCTATTTTCTGGGGGATGAGAGATAAAGAATACGCACCAAGGATTGGCATAAGGTATTAACCATCGGATCATCTTCCTGTCTCATCCTTTTTGAGTGCAAGAATACCAATGAACGAACTGACCGACGGTGTACAGCGGAGATCCTGTCCCGCCTAGAGCCAGCTAGAGCCACTTGATGCCACATGTAACCATATCCACAGCCAAGCTGATAAGCCAGGGTAACATTGTCTTGCCACAAAAGCCCCTGCCGTCTCCACTGATTGGTGGTGTAGATCAGGTTAATTTCGCCCGAGTGAAAAGTCTCTCCGCAACGGGTAGTTGTGGAGCAATGTGGGTCGGGTCGTGTGCTTAATTTCCCGAGGTCTTTCCGCTGAGTTGACACTAGCTAGGACTTTGGAGAGTTCACTAGTGTCTCCGGGGTCGTGATAGACGAGAGTTTGAGCAAGGAATCGGAGGCTGAACGTGCAAAAAAAAAGTCATGTAGAACATACTTAGTGAACAACGTGCGTGACTTGCATTGTGTGTTGTTCTCGAGCTCCACCGATGTTTGAACTTGCCTCAAAAGGGGTTGGTTTAGCGTTAAAAAAATTGGAGACCAGTGCGAATCGATAAGCAGTAAAGATCCGAGATACACACGTCTGGCCCTCAGAGATAATCCTCCATTTTAAAGAGATAGGCGCTTCACAATACACAACTTGGCGGCAGAAAAAATGTGTGGTTTAGAGTGAATTCCAAGAAATTCCAACCCTTGGAAGACCATTCTGTGATTATCAGCTCATCACTTGTGACTTCGGAAGCCCTCCGAGCAAGCCCTGAGCATCCATGGATGCAGAAACGTAGTTATGTAATAGCACGTGGTCCCACGGAGCGAAGGCAGATTGTGAACCATGGAATGATTTGGACACATCCACGGGTGGTCAGTTGCCGGCAACTCTAACCTCAGGCCACCCACATCTTTGGTCAGACTATCTCTGGAGACTGAGCTATCTAAGCCACCTGATCAAATCCCCGCAGCTGAGCCCCAGGCACTACAGCGCTTTATGCTCTTAAGGCTTTAAAGTTTGTCGGAACCTGACACTGGCCAGTGGTCAGTGGCTGAACAACTTATGTTGTATATCTAACCAGTCACCCAAGAAAAATGAACTCCAGAAAAGACCCACTGCCAGCGTACACTGAGGAATGAGTCAATATTATCACCCACAGCGGACGAGCCATTGAAGATGTCTTCTTGGCTATTTGTAGAGGTAGTAAAAATGTTCATTTGTGGAGAAGACTGTTCGTGGTGTAACTATGGATCTTATGTCTTTCCCTGGCAAAATTTAGGAGGTCGTTGCGGAAAAATGGAAGAATATTTGGCAATTCAAACAAGGCTCGGAATGTGCTCACATCTCTCTATTCGCTTCTCCCACTGACCTTGAAGAAACCTACTAGAAAAGGCAGAGGGAAAAAGCAGTTTCAGATAAGTATCTAAACCTCACAAGAAGCCTGCCTAGCTGAAAGAGGAAGCGACATATCTGCAGAGCAAACAGAGAGAGGTCAGATGATCATTTTCATCAAGCACCATCAAGGACAGGGAAACTAGCTAAGCGTCTGTACAGAAACTCGCAAAAGCCAGCAATGCCAAAAACAAAAACGCCACCAGTCGATCAACAGCTGTAAAGACAAATGTATTGTGTTGGAAAGTTTGTTCCTTCTCAATTCAGGATGAAGACCAAAAGCAACATCGTCCTTTCCAACGTAGCAATACAGAACGAGACCTCATACTAAGGCCAACGTTGCCCTGGCTGGGACGGGATCCACCGCGCCACACGCCAGATCAAGGTTCTCTGCGAGAACGAGGAGTAAACCTATCGAAACGCACCTGGGTGTCACATAGAAATTAGAAAAATACGGAAAGGAAACAAGAATGAAATTGAAAGGAAGACAAATACGATACATCATGGTGAACCATCACTAAGAAGCACGTAGAACGTGACCAACACTTGTTGGGTCCTCATTATTACTAGGACATTGAAGTTATCTGATGCAATTCCACGACCACGAGAAAATCTTGGTGGACCTGGTCCATCAAATCGAGGTCTTCTTTATTGATCGTAATTTTTATAAATAATACACGACACCGAGGGTTGCCGATAACTGCTCCCTGGAAGTGGAAGAGCTCGTGAATGAGTGTCATCTTTCCAACAATAGCAGTGAAGTCCCCAAAAATTCTTTTGAAACGGAGCACAAAAGAGTGGGGGATCTCTCCTTTCATGGTCGAGGTTGACAAATTTAGATCTTAATCCGGTGGTAGACAGCAGTGTGTGATGGGTTCTAGCACACGTCTTTTCATTCAAGATAAGCTTCACTATGACGAGCCATTAAGGAAGCCCCAGGCCCCAGGATAGATACGAATTATAGGAAGGCCCGGCCATAAGCTAAATACCCATTTCTCTTCGCCATCTACGTGGTGCTTCCGTGGCTCTAAGGCGGAAGCGACAGTGTGGATGGGGTGAGCTTTGATGGCGGGTTTTGTACTGAGGGTCTACTTTTCGGTGTTGCACTGAGTCTCTTTGAAAAGTAGGACTCTGGCGCTGCTATGAGATGGATCTTCGTTGGTAGGAGCGTAGAACATCTTATTTTATTCCCCGATCAACTGCACATCGACAAGAATGTTGAAGCGAAGTGTCATGGATAATTGCACTTCCAATTCCCTCTAGTTGGATGCGCCTTTCAGCTTGAGAACCAGCCTAACCATGTCTATCTCGTTCTCGCTGATTTCGGAGTCGAAACCCAAGTTTTCTTCGGAAGTTGTCGACATAGTGGCGATTGGGACAGACGTAGTCGAGTGCCAAGATTTAACAAATTGGTCTGATGACAGGATGTGAAAGATTTGCCTATCTCTTCGGTGCGAATCTCTCTCCGTGAAGAGAATTGCACCGTTGTGTGACTGATTTGGGGGGAAAGACATTCGGTGTGATAAGACGGGCCAGAAATTCTGAGATTCCGACAACTATTGGAATTTTTAGTGGAGCTCAGATGCACTGGTGAGTGTACTGACGAGATGACGGCGCCAAGGATCGAAGATCTCACGACGTGACGCTTCGTATCAAAACAAACTTTGAAGACAGAATGGGTGATTCAAAGTAGTAAATTGTGAGCAACAGGCTTAAAATCTGGACATGTGCACCAAAAAAAAAAGCAGATCAGGACAATGCAGCCTCTGTATGGATGTTTTAAAGGAAGAACACCGAGAAGAATGCAAGCATGAAAGTCCATTTCCATGGGTGATACCTTTGCGGAGCAGCCTGAATGGCCCCAATATTCATCACGACACCATGCTTCAGTACCGTGTTCTTTGAATCGAAACGCCACGGTCATCTAAGTCGGAAGTCTTCGGCTGTCGGGCATTTGAAACACTATTCTGACCTCCGCAACTACGGAATCATTTTGAAATAGATAGTCCGAAGATCCCATGATCAGACAGAATGTCACACATGGAACTTCATCTACGGTCTGACTGCCGAAATCGTTGTAATCGTTGCCGCAGTCCTACCCGTGCATGGGTAAAAATGAGGATTCTATACAAAGAGTCTGGTGGTGCGTGGTTGGGATATCATAACCACTTTCCCTCCCCTTTGGTCCCGAAAAGAGCACGTAATGATGTTACAATTTGACCTTCTCTTCCAGCACCTCGAGGTAATGGAGGGACAAAAGCGTGGCATCCTAGTCCTGCGTGCTGTGGCAAGGCGCCCAGCCACATGGCGATGCGTGAAGATTGGGCCCGGGTCCTAGCGTATCAAGGGCCAAATCCCAACTTCACCCTGCTAAGAATACTACCGTATTGGCGATTAGATGTTCGTGATTGGGATATATGGAGCATGTGTTCCACGTGGTTAATGCAATGGAGACAATGGAACAATAGAGGGCAAATCAAATCACCCAATGGGGCCTTGACGAATATTCAGCTTATGACTTTGGACTACATATAGATGCGGGTGAATAGATCATCCTCGTCCACAATTTAGACCCAAAGACATTTCCAATCTGCGCCAATAAAAAGAACAATTGAAAATGGATGACCAGGCAACCGGAGGACGAAAACGGACAAGGCGGGGAGCGTATCTTTCCCCTCCCGACAATCCAATCAATTTTTAAGCCTCGATGACCCTATCTTTTTGACTCACCTCAAACCATGGCAAGTACAGAAAATGAATGGGAATTGGAGGAGGGCATACCTCAAGTTGAGGATCCCTTTATTCAACAATATTTGAAAGGGCGTGATGCTTTAATTATGGAAGAAAAAAAGCGACGTCACGGTATATTTCTCACCCAAATCAACTGCAAAAACAATGTCTGACATTTTTTTGTAGATGCAAATCTGCGCAAATCTCTATCACCTATCGCCGCCCGGGCGACGAAGATAGTGTCGCAGATCCGGGCCCAGGAACAGAACGAGCTGTGGTCAACTGGATTGGACGAGGATCTGGCCCACCAGGCAGATGAGATCCTCTATCCGGGTGTTATGTTCAATCTGGCCAAAGGTCGCATGGAAACGACCAAACTATGGAAAATCGTGGAAAGGATGCCTAAGGGATCCCTTCTGCATGCCCACATGGACGCCATGTTCGACATTGATTTCCTGATTGATCAGGCATTTTCCACAACTGGTATACATATGTTCGCGCCGAGGCCGTTGATCACAGACAAGGATTACGAAGACGCACCCGTGATTTTCCAGTTTTCCTCGCAGCCTCTAGAAGCGTCCGAGGACAAGCCAAGCATTTGGTCAGAGACATACGAGGCCTCGTCGTTGATCTCGATCCAGAAGGCAGCTTCCTCTTTCCCCAGGGGGGGAGAAAAGGGCTTCCGAGAGTGGTTGTACAATCGATGTGTTCTAGTGCCGGAGCATTCGTATCATCACCACCACGGAGTAGATGCAATTTGGTCTATCTTCACAAAGACTTTCCCCATCCTCGACTCTCTCTTGATGTACGAGCCTATCTTCCGTGCCTGTCTGCTCCGGTTGCTCGGACAGCTTGCTGAGGATGGAATTCGATATGTGGAGTTCCGCATTGGATTTGTCTTCCAATTTCGGAAAGAAGGGAATGAGAAACCCGAAGTAGACTACTTTGAGTGGTGTCGCGTAATAGAAGATGTTGTGGCCCACTTCAAACAAACGGACAAAGGAAAAGACTTCTACGATCCTCGCGTTATTTGGACTACGCTCCGGTGGTTTGGTAACGAGGCGATTGTCAATAGCATGAAGCAGTGCATCGAAACGAAGCAGGAATTCCCCGATCTGATCAGTGGGTTTGATCTTGTTGGCCAAGAGGATAACGGGAGGCCGCTAGTCGACATTGTCCCGGTGCTCTTTTGGTTCCGAAAGAAATGTGCGGAAGAAGGCGTTGATATTCCTTTCTTTTTCCACGCTGGAGAATGCCTCGGCGACGGTGATGCGACGGACCATAATCTATTCGATGCCATCCTTCTTGGCACCCGACGAATCGGCCATGCGTTTTCGCTATACAAGCATCCCCTGCTCATTGATTTGGTCAAAGAGAAGAAGATCCTTGTTGAATGCTGCCCGATTTCGAACGAAGTGCTCCGCCTTGCCAGCTCCATCAAATCCCATCCTTTGCCAGCGCTCTTATCTAGAGGCGTCCCCGTTTCGCTGTGCAACGACGACCCCGCAATTCTTGGCCACGGACGGAATGGATTGACGCATGATTTCTGGCAAGTCTTGCAAGGACTTGAAAATGTGGATTTGGTCGGCCTATCAATGATGGCTCAGAACTCCATCCGGTGGAGCTGCTATGAGGATGAGTCGACCGCGGAGTGGAAAGCTGGCATTCAAAATGGGGTAATGGGGAAGGGACTAAAATCCGAGCGTCTGCGGGATTTTGCAGCGGATTTTGAGAAATTCTGCGAGTGGATCGTGTTAGAGTTCGCTGAATTCGATGCTGGGGATGATTGAATTTCTGTCATGTTGATCACACTATAACTGGTAGTCAAAACATAATAGCCTGGCAAGGACAAATGTAAGAATGCGAAGCCCTTTTTCTGCTATAGCCCAACTGTTGAAGGCCAAGTTTTGAACCCGTTGAAGTCATCTGAAACCTATCATAAGTCGATGCGAAGATCATTGGTCAAATCTGTTGTCGATCGATGAGTTGGCACGTCGGCGCCTGACTCGGGTCACTTATCGCGCCTTTATCAGGTGCCCGGAACGTCATTGTTGAACATTTCCCCCTTCACGGCCTTCCTCCATCCACTCCGCTTCGTCGGAGCTGGCTGCTTTATTGCTTTCGTTGGGATTTTTCGATGATACGAGTCCGCATATGAACGAGCCCTGTCTCGGCTCCCAGTCACGATGACGTCGTACTTCATGCCATCGTTCTTCCAGAAGCGGCTCCTCAAATACGCCCTATCCCGCCTGGGCCTGGTCGACACAGAGGCCTTGGATCCGGATAACCTAGGCGTCCGTTGGGGACAACGTTCTACAGTCGAGTTGAAGGACATTGGTCTCAAATTAGAGGTGAGTGGGTGCGGTGACTCTCCGCGGGCGGCAAGGGCCTTTCGTGATCATCGAATGCGTCCTTTGAAGCAGTGCAGGCTGACTTCTTACATCGTGAAATAGAAATTATCGACTTTGCTTAATCTTCCTTCGTCATGTGAGCTTCTTAGCGCCCGAGTTCAGCTTCTTCGAATCACTTTTCCTGCCGATTTTCACAACAGCGGCATCCTGTGCGAGGCAAACGGTATTGACGTACACATTCGGTTAATGTCAGACGAGGCGAAAAAAGGAAAGCATGCGAAAAACAAGGACAAAAATTACCACTATTCAGCGGTGCCCACACCGTCTGGTCTTGCCGAGTCATTCCTTGAGTCCGAACCAAAGGAGGAAAGGGAAGAACTGCAAGCCGCAATATTGTCACAGTCACAGGTCCTGGAATACGACCCGTTGGCCTGGTCTACCGATGATGATACCGATCTCGGCATTGGGAGTGAGACTCTATCACTGCCGAGCTTTGTGGCTGGATTTTTGAAAGGCGTTGTAGATAGACTTCAAGTCAAGATTAAAGATGCAGTTGTGCGAGTGGACATGGAGTTGAAGCAAGATGGAATGCCAAAACGGCAACCGGAACATAAGCCGGACCTTGTCGCTGGACTACTGAGCGTCGGGGAAATCGATGTGTACGGAGTATCCGAGAAAACTATCGGCCCGGAGGAGGGTCTCCCTCTCCGAAAAGACAAGCGCCTCATCTCTATCGCCGATCTCAATATTGGTTTGGTTTCGGACCCATCGGTGTTTTCAAACTACTCTAGGTTTGCTGCCCCTGCATCTCCGTCAACTATGCGGTCAAAAGGAAGCCAGCCGTCAAGCAGAGCGTCATCGCCCTCTGCATCGGATCGCTCCCAGGAAGAACCTCTTGCGATGACCCAATCAACTATTTTCCAGCTGCCGCAAGCTTTTGGCCATTCAAGTACCACGACAGGTAGTTTGGAAGCTTCTGAAATTTCCCATGGTCGATTTTCAGACGCCGAGTCTGAGTCAGGTAGTTGCAGGGATGGATACATGGAGGATTCTCAAATGTTTGGAGATCACCCCTTTCAAGACAACCCGGGCTACCTGGAATCGGTTATTGACGAACAATTTGATGATTTTGATGATGAGCTGTCACCGGTTATACATCCCCAAGAAGACCGACAGACCGGGAGTGAATGGAGAAGCCACTTTTCTTATGGCCCGCAAAGCCTGTATCAGAGCCAAGAGGTCGAATGCTCTGACGAACCCTTAATTCCCTCTGACAACTATCATACGTCCCAAACTTACGACACAAATCACAGCTCAATCGGCCCTGAAATTAACGAAGTCACGCCACCCACACAGAGTTTCAATGATTGCAACGAAATTGAACTTGGCGAAAGATCACAATTGAGTTTATCACCCCGTCATTTAAATACATCTACTCCACGCCCAGGGCCTGACAGCACGGGTTCACGAGAAGAACCCCAAAATACCGATCTCAACGAGTCGAAGCTTTTCTCCCACGATGAGGCGCAAAGTCTTTACATGAGTGCTATCAGCCAGAATCCGAGTGAGAGCTTCATGCCACATATTCCAGGCGCATGGGGCTCGTTTGGCGGTGCCTTCTCAAACTCCCAGAGTGCCTTTGATGACTTCGCACCTATGGAGCCAGCACAGTCCGCACAAGTTCAAAATGAAACGAGTTCAAAATACACAGCCCCATCAGAGGACAACATCACTGAGCAGCAGGGTTCTGAGGATCAAGTCCCATCTCAAAAATTGCACAATGAAAGACCCTCAACCCCATCATGTAATGGGTTGCACCGAAGTAATGAATTGAAAAAATCGGTACTGTCTGTTGACAGGATTTTGCTATGGCTCTCGCCTCCTGATTCCGAAGTAGGATCAACCGAACAGTCACCTGTGCCACAAAAAGAGAATGCAGCCAGTGACCTGAATGAATCCATGGCTAGCCTTGGGGACTATGCACCCGAAGAAAGTCTTTTTGCCTCCAGAGCTTACAAATCTACAAGGTTCGGAAGAGACTTCCTTGAGGCACGGCCTCAACCAAGTGCTGAGACTGAGCTACCTGAAATCGCCGTTGAAGTTTTCTCTGTCTCTGTGCATTTCGATTTTGCAATTGGTTGGCTTTTAATCAAGATCGGACAAAAGTTGGCCCACGCTCTTGGTATGGCTGAAACAGGTCCGTCTGAGAAGCAATCACGAAAGGACCTGTCCACGCGCACACCACCTGTTCATCTTGCCGTCCATACTTTTTCAATAAAATTCATCGAACGTGTTTCCGGGCATGTATATTCGTCCGACACTAATTGTTCGCCTTTGTCTTCCCCCTACAGCATGGAAAATGTGATTCTTCGTCTTACTATCTCTGGTTTGGATGCTCACCTTTCAGCTCAAAGTACAACTACCAAGATGAATCTTGGTGTGTCCAAGTTTGCATTCGGGTTGGTATCAGAGGATATCATATTCTTTGATGAAAGATTGAAGATGCGCGAATCCACGCGTGATGTTTTATCGCCTTCGCAAGGAGATATTTGTATTTCTTTGGCCAAGTCCGCTGATCTGGCCAAGGTTGACATCTCCACGCTGCCTCTTCACATTAACATCAACATACAGCGCCTGGAAGAGGTCCTAGGCTGGATGGGAGGCCTAAGCACCATTCTCGAACTTGGAAGTTCAATGTCATCCGTGTCAACAGTCAAAGGCGGTCCTCCTCTTCCCGTACAGCGCCCCCGTGGTGTCCATTTTGAGACACCTGTCCCAGCTGTTGCCGCGACCAAGGGCACTTCAGCCATATGGAAAGTCAATGCCAGGCTAGGTGCCATCCTGCTAGATGTTACTGGAGAAACCCATTCTCTTCAACTTACCACGACCGCCGTCAAAATTGTCAGTAGGTCAGAAGGGATTGGCATTCAAATAGACAAGGCCAAAATGATTGGGCCACTTTCGATGGATGACGCTTTATCTGATCCCCCCGCAAAAAATACCTTGAACAACATCCGCCTTGAATTCCTTTTTGCCCCGAAAGAGGTCGATCTTGATCGTCTTTTGACATTGATTACCCCATCCCAGGACAAATTTGGAGTGGAAGATGATATCATGCTAGACACACTGTTGCGCCAGCGACGACAAGGATCTGTTCTGCGTGTGACAGTGGGGCGCATGGAAACATCCATTTCGGAAATCAATGGATTAGAGCCTCTCTCGTCTCTTGCTGTTGAGCTGACTCGGCTTTCCAACGTCACCAAGTATTTGCCAGAAGATGACCGCCCTGGCATTCTTACTTTGATGCTGGTTCGTGACTTCCAAGGACACGTCCAAGTTGGCGGAGAAGTTGGGGATATTGAAGGTCAACTTACTGATGTTGAATTTGCACACATCACCATGCCTTCCCTCACTGCGGCCCAAATCGGAACAATGACCGTCAGTTGGAATGATGGCGAAGAGCTGGTGGGGCATGCCCTTTGGCCGCCGAACAAATTTCATGATCCAGAGCGGTCCTGTCCTCCAGTCTTCATGGCTCGTTTTATACCCGATGAGATGGATCCTACCTACAAAATCAAACTACACAACCTTCTTCTTGAGTATACGGTACCATCAGTGGTGGCCTTCCTTGGACTGGGTGACGACAAGATAAGCGGAGATTTGGCCAGCAGTATGGTCAACTCTATCGCCAATCTTGCGGAGCACTCTATGCCATCACCTTTGATTGCAGGGCGACCGACGTCGAATGAATCCAGCTCTTCGACAAAACCGGTCAAACTGGCAATTGTGTTCAGAGATTGTGTCCTTGGCCTGAACCCTCGCAATTCTCCAGCAAAAGGTCTTGCAGTCCTCACTAATGCCAAGTTCGAAGGAAGTATCCACGGAGAGGAAGCTGCGGAAGCATGGTTGGATGTTAGGAAAGCCTCGCTTATGATCATCGACGACGTGTACCATGAGGGCGCTGACAACCTGCACCAACGGGGCTCGGTCGTTCCACAAGACACACAGGCGCAAGCGTATATTGATAAAGGCTACGTTCCTGTTTCTTCCATCTCATCGGCGACTGCTGGCGTCAAGCTTACCAGCGCCATTGATGGGACAAAATCATTGGACGTCGAGTTGAGAGATGATCTGTTGATCCTCGAGACCTGCGCGGATTCAACTCAGACGCTCATTAGCATTATGAATGGGCTTCAGCCACCAGCTCCACCAAATGTCAATATCAAATATCGAACAGAGGTTATGCCCATCCAAGACATGATTGCCTCTTTCACCGGGGACGCATTTGCTGCTGCTGATCATCCCGTTCCCAGTGATAACGATCTGGCCACTATCTCTGGAGGATTATCCAGGGAAGGCCAGCTGACCGATGAACTCGAATACGTCAGCGATTTCTATCCCCTGAAGGGCGGCCCTGGTGGTATGGGTATTGAAGAATTGAAAGCGGGCTCCAACGATCTGCTGGACAGCTTTCATTCTCAATACCAAGTTTCTTCCAGCCTGACAGAATTGGACTTCCAGGAGGACCATTTCGCAAAGAAGTCAGCTGTGGGTGGAACCGCTCATCGGTGGGACTCTACCCAGAACACTTACGGAGTCACCGATGACACGAAGCTCGAGCGTAGTCCTTTGCGTGTGCGTGTGCGAGACGTGCATTTCATCTGGAATCTCTTTGATGGATATGACTGGCAGCGCACTCGTGACGCAATATCCAAAGCTGTCAAGGATGTGGAAACCAAGGCCACAGAACGCCGTTCAAGGGGCTCACGCATTTCACCTTCGGCAGAAGATGAAGAGGAGTCTGTCATTGGCGATTTTCTCTTCAATTCCATTTACATCGGTATTCCAGCCAACAAGGATCCACGGGAACTCCACCGTGAAATCAACCATGATATCGATGATTTTGCCAGCGAGACCGGCAGCTACGCAACTACCATTACTGTGACTGGGGCTGGAACTCGCCAGGGCCGGCCAACATCTAAGAGGGAGAAGAAATTACGCTTGCATCGGAGCAAACATCACAAAATGACGTTTGAGTTGAAGGGTGTCTCTGCCGATCTGATTATCTTCCCACCGGGCACAGAAGAGACCCAGAGCTCGTTGGATGTGCGGGTCCAGGATCTAGAAATCTATGATCATGTTCCGACATCCACATGGAAGAAGTTCGCAACATACATGCGTGAGGCTGGAGAAAAGGAGAGCGGGACGAGCATGGTTCATCTTGAAATTCTGACTGTAAAGCCTGTGCCTGACTTGGCTGCTTCTGAGATAATTCTAAAGGTTTGTTACCCAAGTCACCAACTACCCAGACCAGTTTCTAACTTGTCTTCTAGGCCACTGTTCTGCCTCTCCGGTTGCATGTTGACCAAGATGCTCTTGACTTCATGAGTCGGTTCTTCGAGTTTAGAGACGAGACCGCCGAACGATCTGATACCCCGGGCGATGTTCCATTCTTGCAGCGAGTAGAAATAAACGCCGTGCAGGTCAAATTAGACTTTAAGCCTAAGCGGGTCGACTACGCAGGACTCCGGTCCGGCCGCACAACCGAGTTCATGAACTTTTTCGTACTGGATGGCGCTGACATGGTGCTACGACATGTGATCATCTACGGAGTATCCGGCTTCGACCGAATGGGCCAAACTCTCAACGACATCTGGATGCCAGATGTGAAACAGAACCAACTACCCGGTGTGCTCGCCGGTCTCGCACCGATTCGCTCCCTAGTCAACGTCGGCAGCGGCGTGCGCGACCTGGTCGTCATTCCAATGCGTGAATACAAAAAGGACGGCCGAATCGTGCGCAGCATTCAAAAGGGCGCTCTAGCCTTCGCCAAGACCACGTCCAACGAGCTGGTCAAACTCGGCGCAAAACTTGCAATCGGCACACAGACCGTCCTCCAAGGTGCGGAGGACATGCTGACTACCCCCAGCGCACCAGCGTTCGACGACGATTGCCTCGACGAAGACGAAGATGAAGCCAAGAATATCTCACTGTACGCTGACCAGCCGGTTGGAGTAGTACAGGGACTGCGTGGGGCATTTAGTGGTCTCGAACGCGATCTGCTCTTAGCTCGGGACGCGATCGTGGCCGTACCCGGGGAGGTGGTCGATAGTGGGAGCGCAAAGGCAGCCGCAAAAGCAGTCTGGAAGCGCGCGCCCACGATTATTCTCCGACCCGCTATCGGGGTATCCAAGGCCGTGGGACAGACTCTGCTTGGTGCGGGGAACACGCTTGACCCGAGCAATCGGCGCAAGATGGAAGATGTAAGTGGTTTCCGACAAGCCCTGTTTTGGTATGTGTGGCTGTAGCTGACGACTGTCTTAGAAGTACAAACGGTACTGAGAGTGAGAGATCCACGAGGCCAGCTGGATTTGGGTCTACGGACGACCTAGGTGCTTAGGCCCTTTCATACTTCGTACATACATGCATAATCTATGGACCCCTTTTTCATTTGTTGGTTTTGTTTTTGTTTCTCGTTTTAAGTTTCTCGTAAATTTTTATTTCCTCGTTGCTTCATCAGTTTGATATCACGCCATGACCGCATGATGATGTTGAACTGCTCTTGCGTTTCCCTTTACGTTGATCTTTCAAGTCATTTTCTTTCAGTCTGCATGACCTAGGGAGTCCTTTGTTTTTTAAAAAAAAGAGGATTGGGGTGTTTTATCTAGATCTATTTCTAAGGTTCCGCCAAGCAGAAAAGAAAGGCCATGTCGACCTGTTCGGACAATGCGGTAGCATCCGAGCATTCACCTTCGGGTAGTTGCCACCCATTTGGAAAGGCTCTGTACTACCAGTAAGTTCTGATTACCTGGGTATAGCCTAGGGCAGCGAGGTAGCAATCCGTTTTAAATGCAGGGAAGATGACTTGGATTGTGTATTCCATCCCAACGTGTGAATCTGTATGCGTATCTTCTACAAGGTACGAGTTACGAGGCGCCCGACCATGGATCAAAGTAATCCAGTTCAACTATTATGGAGAACTCCGTAAAATTCTTACAGACAGGGAATTCTTGAATCAGGAACATCCATTTGCACCGGGTTCACATATTGACAGAAATCTATGGTTTCAACAATGTATAGGACGACCAATACTCCGTACATAAAGAAATACTCTTATGAAAGTGTATCTAGATGATCTACAAATGAAGTTGTAGATGTCACTGGTATAGAGGGGCGGTATCCTATACTCTCTTTTAATAAATATAGAGTGTTGAATAACTACTGCCCGGTCCTCGCCAACCCCACCCCCTTCGGGTGTAGGGTTACCACACCGTAATGGAAACTCTTGCCTAATGTCAATTTTATCCCACCTACTATTTTTACTACCAGTTTACACCACCATAACATGCCGGAAAAACCCCCAGATTGTCACGGTGTGAACCGTGATGCTTAATTAGAGGAAGATCACGGCACGTGATCTCCGACCTGTTTATCTTGAACTTCAGTTCTAGATCCTGTTGTAGCTCTTCGAGCTACGTCTTGTATAATAGCCTGCCCCTGCCTGTACCTGTCAAGTGGAATCTGATCTGTTATGACCTGTTCCTACCAGTCATCTCCTATCATACCGTCCTGCCAGCCCGCACCCTGACACCTTTAAGTGCTACCCTTATCTCTAATGAGGAGGAAATTAGTTAGTGAAAAGGCTTCAACGCCGAGAAAAAAAAGGGGATTCTAGAATTTATATGGGTGGGGATCTTCATTCTTTAAATTTAGATGCTTTGCTTATCAAGCCCACTGTCAGAGTAATTCAGGTATTTTAATTTCTGCCAGTCCAAAATAAACATTCAGGCTTTTCAGGCATCAACCCTGAAAAATCAGGCATTGGACCTTTGGCTCTGCCCTTCGCATTGTGGACTGCGCCATCATAGCGGTCCGTTTGTTTTTTCCGGGTATTCCACCCTGTTCTCATCCTTGTACCGTACCATGGGGTTCGACACATGGCCCTATTGAAATCAAAACCCCCGGTTCCTTGCGGACTGCATCAACGGTGCATCACTGTGAGGCACTCCATCCTTCAGGGTACGTGCGAACATGTACAATGTATCCACTTATGCCATGGAAATCCGACACGAATGACCATGTCATGATGTTGCCAGTGGCGAAAAAAAAAATTCTTTCAGAATTGCCACATTAAAATTCGAGCCGGGTGGCCAATCAAGGGTGTCAAGCCCGCCACTGCCTTTTGCCTTTGTCGGCCAGTGTCCTAAGCCAGGTCATTCTGTAATGCTGACTGGTTCTGGGCTTAAAGAGGCGGTTGGTGAAAATTAGGGACATGGGGTGATTGATTGGTTAGGGGTGGAGAAGGTAAGGTGGACGCTAAAGTACGGAATAGGTACTTCCTAATAGCACCAATAGACCGGGGCTGAGATCATCTGCAAGTGATGGTTGGGCACAATTCTATTATGTTCTTTGTTATTATTTTACAAAGATTCTACTATAAATCTAAAACGGATCACGGAGTACAACATGTCTCCCAACTGTCCACTCACTTTTCGATGACGTTGAGTTGATCGATGAGCCATGGGTTGGAACTGTTGAAGGTCTCGACCTTCCTCTACTCCGTCCTTTGTTTTCTCTTCTCTTCTCTTCTGATGGCCCTAATTGGATCGGTCCAACCGGCTTTCCCTTGGCTCGATTGGCTCGATTGGCTCGACTGGTTATAAAATCATTGTTCTTTCAGTGGAGAAACAACGGGGGGGTATTTGGATCCTCTGAGACCCAGGCACATTCCAAGTCCGTCCGCATTTCCTCATTTCAATCTTAAAATTACTTCCTGCACTTCTGTACCTTGCAGCCTTGTTTATTGTGATATATTGATACATTGTAACCGGCAAGCGTATCTCTCCCATCCCTTGTGACGTAAATCTGACGAATCAAGTTCAGTGTGGAGAAGTGGGTTTGGATCAACTGCACTAGATATGTCGATAATCTCAAAAGGTGCTCCGAGAACAGAGCTCTAAGTAGCAGGACTTCAACAACACCAAGGCGAAATCAGTGATCTTCGCAATTGCAAGTCAATATGAACGAAAACCTAAACTACTCTGCCGCCAATGGCAATTGGCATGCCGTGCTGCTGGACAGCCCTGTCTGTCATAACTGCCTCCAGCTCCATGACCTCCATGCATGTCCTACTCCTCTTTCCAACCCCCTTTTGAGAGACTCGGCCGACGCTTTGTCTCTTCCTCCTCGATCCTTAAAATCCCGTATGTCGGGAGCCCTTTCTCTCCATGATTACCACAAGTTCCTCTCAAAATCAGCAGACCGCAGTAGCGACCCTGTCGATCACATAGGAAGGAAATTGAAACGAAGAACAGCTGCATTGCATTTGAACCGATCATCCCCTCTTACCATCTCTTATCCTGTGTCCAGTTCCTCTATTGCCTCGAGTCCGCCGCCGCTGTCTCCTTCCTACTCGCACAGCATCGTCTCTCACTGGAGTGAAGAGCCCGAGATTGGGGAAGCCCAGACTGGTAAGTCTTGCCTATTGATTGTCTTGAAACAAATTTCCGGAATCTTTGTTCATAATTGAGTAGTTCAACTTCAATCTACTCAAAGCCCTCGACTGCCCGTTGTTTCAGATCTCGGGACTCGTGCTAGACCTAATAGGAAGCGAGTTGTAAGTGAACTGAAACGCCACAACAAAGACCCAACTCACTGATAACAGTCCAAGAATACTTTTCGTGAAAGGTTTCAACATAGGGCCCAAACTCAGACAGCAGAAGCTAGGCGTGCGCCCCAATCTCAAACCTCGGACTCAATGCTGGTCAGTACACAGGCCGTTACCACCGTCTCACACGGTGGCGCCTGCTTTGAGATTCTAAATCCTCGGAAGTCGTTGGACCTGGCACGAATCGTCTCATACATTGAGGACGTCGATAATTGCTCCATGGTCTCCATGGACAATCAGCGAGACTCTACTTTCTCCCTTGATCAAGGACTGGACCCGGTGTCTCTGTCCCAGTTTGCTGATGCACCGGTCCCATCATTTTACTCCACCAATTCGTTGTACACCTCCCTCCCGGCGAATTCCTCAACACCCATGGGTCAACCGACGGACGAACGATCTCTATTGGACTTCCCTGTCAATGAACATAGCTTCAACTACTGGAGCCAACCTGTACAGCGCACTGAAAACAACGATATACGCACTGATTTCTACAACGAGAGAGCGGCCTCACCATCACCACACATAGCCTTTATCATGGAAAAATCAAAATCTCCAACCCTTGGCTTCTCTTGTCGACCCTCCACCCCATCAACACAACTTTTCTACCCAGAAAGCGAGATTGGCGAGCCGGGCTCGCCCGTCTACGCAAACGGCGACTGGGCCCAAGTCGACGAGCGCGACAGGGGCATCTTATTCGACCCCCGGGAAGACGAACTAACGCCTGACCACCACTACCACGACAACATTTACTTACAAGAACACGAAGAACCACCAACACCCCGCGAAACCCCCCTCGAGACACCAAGTGGCTCACCCATGCACTCACCCATGTATTCAAACTTTGACTCCGCCTATCCCTACCCGCGTTCCTTCTCAACCTCCAAACTCCCAAATTATCCCGGCCCCTTCGATCCATACACCTTTGATCCGGTGTATTTCGACCCGCACGTCCAGTCTGTCCTCGCAGCTGCGAACGCAGAGACGATGGGGTTACGGGGCAGTCCTGCACGCGCGCCGGACGAGCTGCAGAGACAGAGGGTGCGGTCAGATGAGACTAGTCCGCGGTTCGAGTTCCAGAGGAGGAAGAGTGATGAGAGGAAGGCCGGAGTGCAGAAGAAGGGGCTGAGGAAGTTCTTCAGCTGGAAATCCGGGAATTAGATAGAGTTCTGGGAACCTTGTCTGTCCTATTCCTGCTGGAATTCTGGGAATCGGCACCTAGGTGTGTGAGATTTTTGGGCCGGGAATTCGGTCATAACTCACGTCCATTGTGATTATATGAAGAGCGTGGCCCTTGGGTGGTGGATAGGATTGGATGGACTGTCTGGATGCGAGACTAGCTTCTTCTCTTGTTTCTTTTGAAGGGTCTCTTCTACCTTGTCTTTTTTTAACTACTTTCATCCCTTTTCTTCTTTTATTTGGGTCTGAGACTCGTCCTGTATCTACACTAATTTATATTTTACGCACGTCAACATTCAGGTTATCTTCATTCTGAACTCATCGATTCAAATGATAATGAACCTTTCTCAATTGCTCCTGCTGATGACAAGAATTCATTAAAAACAACGCTCACGACCACTATCAATGTAGCACTGAAAACCTTACTGCAGTAGAGGAAGATGTCAAGATCATTATATTCGCTAATCAGCTCGATCAGTGTTTCTATCTTTCTTTATGCGGGTATCAAATCGAACATAACCAAAACTCTAAGCCATGCAGGCAGAATCCACGGAATCCAACATCACCAACCTTGACTTGAACCATAACTCCACTCAATCATCATCTCTCTCAGCCATCGAAGCCAAAGCAGCACTCACAAGGCTCTTCCTCCGGAGCCCCTGCTCATTCCTCTTCCCAAACCCACCGTAATGACTCTTGTCAACGCGACTCGCCAAAACCCCCGCCGAAGAACTCTTCCTCCTCGCCCTCCCATCGATACCATCCGGCCCAAACCGGCTCCGCGCAAGCGTGATCGCCTTCCTCCGCGGTGAAGACCGCGGCGGCAACGAGCTAGGATGACGATCGTCTTCGTCGCAGCAGTCCGGTGCGGAAGAGGTGTCGTCTAGCAATGAGCGCTGCATAGCCTCGACTTCCGACTCGTTGCATTGTAATCTAGAGATCTGCTCGCGCTGCCTGCGGACGTCTTGGTGGTATGGATTGGGTGGTGGGTAAAAGGGGTGTCCGAGGCCGAAGTCCGGAAGGTCAGAGAGGAGGTCCGGGGGCATGAATGTGGGGCTTGTCACTGAGGATGCGGAGGGCGAGGAGAGACATTCGCCGACGCCGGAGTCGTCGGAGTGATCTGTGTCTGGGGGTGTGAGGACGCATCCTGTGCCTGGGTAGCGGCGGGAGCCGGGTGTGTGTCTCCCGTGTCGGGTTTGGGTGTTGTTGTGAGTGTGTCTGTTTTGAAGATCGCCCGTTGGAGCTGCAAGGGTGTGTTCGTGTAGTTTTTGGGTTAGGGTTGAGATGGATAGTCGCTTGTGGTCCGAGTCATAGGGGAAGGGGACGGATGTTGGAGGTTGTTGGTTGCGATGGAAGTGAGAGGAGCGTGAGCGCGAGATGTTGCGGAAACGTTGGGATTGTGGTGATGGACAGCGAGAGGAAAGTGGCGAAATTAGGTTGCTGTCGCTGTCGACCATTGGAAGGTCATCCAAGTCGAGGGCGAGACGGGCTGGTCGCGACGACGGCGATGTGAAGGAAAAGTCTTCGAACATTTCGGTTCCGTTCTTGATGGAGTCGATGTGGCTTTCGGGTGAATTTGAAGTGTGGAAGTATAGGGTTGTTAATATGCGTTCCTTTGACTAGAATGCCGTCGGTGGTTGGCGGCCTTTGAAGTGCGATATGGGATCTCGTGTCGGGAATTGACCACCTCCACTTGAAGGCAGGGGACACAGGTGCGTGCTGTGTATGGCCTTCGATTGATATAGCATATAGGAGATTATTTGCCCCTCGGGGAAAAAAAAATTGATTGTCAACCACTGGTTGAGGTTCAGGCAAATTTTCACGTGATCGGCAACCACTGTGCGGCATACAGCCACATTCTGTTATTACGGACAGGGGTATTTTGCTTTTTTGGGGGTTAATTTTGATTTTTTATAAAAAGGGGGTTTAGTTCAGCTTCAAAAAATTTACTTTTTTTCGAAGAATCTTTTCTTCCCTCGTTCATGTTCCAGAAAATCTTTACCAAGACCCTGGTTCATAAATGCATGTCGATCCTCATGTGGATACCCATGCCCTAAGTAACCCAAGTAACCCGGGGACTGCTAAATGCATCTAGATACCTACAACATACTACCTAGAGTGTAAGATGTACGATGGTAGTGGTCCGATTATTTTATCGTTGAACAGTTTTCGTTTCTTTTTGGCACTCTTCTCGGAGAACCAGAATTTCACTGCAATCGGATAGTGTTGCGTGACTTTCGAAGTACAACAGCACCTTGTCCACTAAAGAAAGCGTATCCTCACAATTTTTTAGGACTCTGTAAATCCGTTTCATTTGGCTAAAAAGGACGTAAGTTTGGTAACATTTTAGGTAGCAACACGATGTTTATTAGGAATTTTCCGTCTGTATGTCTTTTTTGGATGTCCGATCAAATGCCACTTTTCAGGGTCGTGGCCAGAAAGTGAAAGAAACGTGAGAAGCGTGGCGGCTGGAGGTATCAAATCAAACAATTATTTCCCATTTTTCCACGGTAAACAGAACCTGAATCTATGCCTTAATCAAACAGCATGTCGAATTACCAGCCATTTAAGCTCATCGAAAGGACCTGAAGTATCTACTGGATCACATATCAACTCTTCGGTCTTAGTCTCCTCTAGCACTGGCGGAGAAGACTCAGAGGGCTCGCTGGTGGGGAAGGGCTCATCGACAGGGGAAGACGGGGCAGCAGGTGATGCGGCTGCTCGAAATGGTTTCCCCTGAGGCCGAAGAGGTGGTGGAAGCAGACCGATTATTAGCCTCGTTTGCGGCAGCTACATGTTCCTTGAAATTATCAGCACTCTCTCAATATCAAGCTGTTGTCACAAAACAAGCTTCTCTTCTTAAATTGATAGTATAATTAAGTTATTAGATGTGTAATAAAATTACTTGAAAATATAGAGAAAAAAAAACATAAAGAATGTAGGTCACAAGGTTAAGAAATTCTACTTGCTGAAAAGGCCCGTGGGCAAATGCCCACCCGCCCGTCCATGGGCGATGTCGCAGTCCAATAAGAATTATCACCTTCTTTATCTATAGGGCCCTTAAACCTTATTAAGAGCACTAGGGGGAGGAATACCCCTAAAAACCAGCTATAGAGCTATTTAATGCAACGAATTTTCCTTTGTTATTGAAACCCGGCGCTCTTAGCACCGTTTAGAGCGCCCTATAACTAACGGTGATAAACGATACTTTTATAGGCAAGGGCTCGGGTCACCTTAAATAAAAAAACTACCACAACATTCCTTCATTTTTTACAAATATAGGGGGGTCACTTCGATGGTGGTTTTGTTCAAAGGTGAGGTGAGATGTGAGGTGAAAGATGAGACGTGAAAAGAGAAGAGGAGAGAATGGAGGGGTTTTATGAGAACTGAAAATCATACAACTTGGATTGGACCTGAAAAACGACTTCATTCTCAATTACACAAAATAAGAAACAACTAGTCCCAAGACATTTTCAGGAGATGGAAGCTTCCCGCCTCTACCATTCAAATGGACACTTTGCGCAGGGAAAAAGCATCAACCCTACCTGCCCATTCTATGACAGAAAGTCTTGATCTTAGTCTCTGCTCAATCATGGTATCCTGGACTTGAAAGACATTCCATGACGCCTATGTATTTGACCTTGAAGCCTTCCTGATAGAGATTAATACAGTCTACTCTGAAGTTGTAGGTGCATCTGGAAAATCTCTTGATGCGTGGAGAAGAGAGAGGAACTATCTACAGGTTGCTAGACTACGTCCTCGGAGCAAACAGGAAGCATGTGACTGCTTCCAACACTTCAAAAGGCCAACTTAAAAAGGCCCAGATATCAGAACGGGTCCTAGTATCCAAAGATTGGATTTGACACTCTCTTGATTGGAAATGCCTAGATAGGTCATGAGATCAGATCACGTTGATGCATTGGGCCATCCCAACCACATCCTTTAGAAGAAGATGAAGGCGACATAACGAGGATTAGCAAACGAGTCACACTGGAATTTGGGTCTACGGATTTTCTATGGGCTCTTCTATTTCGTTCTTCGTTTTTTTTTACCTAAAAAAATGGACATCACATGCATTGCAGCAACCTATTAGAGGGACAAGCCCAAAATCCCAGAAAAACTACACGCTTGAAATGCCTTCGATCTATGCAAAACTATGCACAGCTTCATGTTAGGTACCACAAATACACTTGCCTTGTTGTATCCTATCGTAGCTTTAATTGGACATTTGTCACAGTCCGTTAATCCTAAAAATGGAGTTCCTACCAACCCCAAGGTTGAGGAAGTAACATGGTGATACCTCCATATTGCGGGGGAATAAACTGGGGACTATCGCACGATTGCGGACTTTTGTCTGCCCAACTCCACTTCTTATCAGTGACCATCCAAAGTACTCCAAGCCCTCCAGCTTTCATTTTTAAAGCGATAGGACGCTGCAGAGTGGCCTGTTCTCACTGTTTACGAATTCTCTCAAGAACGTGTCTTCAATCCACCAAGCCTGTGGTTTGAATGCCTGCTCAAAAGTTGTCTTCATGACGAATACAAGCTATGTTGACAACGGAACTCTCCGAGACTGAGGTCTCGGCCCTCAGAGCTAATAAGGAACGCCTGGCCAACGACCTTCATCACTCATGTCAATGGGGATCCGGAATCAGATGGGGAGAGTAAGCTACATCCATCCTTTCAATGGTTGCTGAAGAACGACCACTAACAAACCTCGGCGACCTGATAGTGGACCCACAGATACTGGCATGCAGCGCCTGGCGCTTTCAGAAGATGACAAAAGGGTCCGTGATTGGTTCGTTCAGACAATGAAGGATCTCAAGTGCAACGTCACCGTCGATGAGATGGGAAATATCTTTGCTGTTCGTCCTGGTCGGAGAGCGGATGTACCCGCCACATTCATCGGCAGTCACCTCGATACACAACCGACTGGTGGGAGATACGATGGTATCCTGGGTGTGTTGGCAGGTATGGAAGTTATCAAGACCATGAACGACATGGGTCTTGAGACAGAGGGCGGAGTCGGAGTTGTCGACTGGACCAAGTAAGATCCGAAGATTTAACTTGGAACAAAGAGTAGCACTGACCATGACCAGCGAGGAGGGTGCCCGATTCCCAATCAGTATGATCTCAAGTGGTGTATGGGCCGAGTGTATCGCATTGGCACATGCGCATAATCTTAAAGAAGTGCCGACCGTGGCATCACTTCCCACGGCAGCATCAGCACCTGAGACCATGAAGAGTGCCCTACAGAAGATTGGTTACTTGGGTGATATTCCGTGCTCGTACAAATCGACACCCATGGCCGCCCATTTTGAAGTTCACATCGAGCAAGGCCCGTACCTAGTATCGGCAAACCAGCGAGTCGGAGTTGTGACAGCGGTGCAGGCCTACAGATGGTTCCGTCTCAACGTCATCGGTCGAGATACACACACAGGCACCACCGCCTTTGAGCATCGGGCAGACGCCCTCTATGCATTTGCCCGAATGATGGTGAGAGCACGGGAAGTGGCATCTTCGAAGGGTTGCCTGGCCAGTGTTGGCATTGTCGAGGCAAAGCCCGGCAGCGTTAACACAGTTCCTGGAGAGGTGAACTTTAGCTTGGACATCCGTGGGCCTGAGACAGAGCTAGTGGCCGAAGTCGAGAAGGAGCTGCGCATTGCCTTCGATGCCATTGCCGCCGCTGAGGGTGCTGGTATCCACAAGCCCTGCCGCGTCGAGTGGACTCTTGATTTCGACTCGCCTGCTGCGAAGTTCCATGAAGATTGCATTGGTTGTGTGCAGCAGTCAGCTCAGGCTATTGTGGCAGGTGCTTCTGTTGCGGATACAAAGTCACTGGTGCGAACCATCATGAGTGGTGCTGGCCATGACAGTGTCTTCACCTCCAAGCGTGTCCCAACGAGCATGGTCTTTATTCCATGCAGGGATGGTCTCAGTCATCACCCTGAGGAGTTCTCCACAGCTGATGATTGCGCGACTGGAGCATCTGTCATTTTGCAGGCTGTGGTCCGCTATGACCGAAAGAGATTCTCGTGAAACGGGGACTCACTTCAGCGTGAGAGAAAGGCCCTACACATAGCTCGTAGGTCTTGTGTCAGTTTGTGAGAGAATTTTAAATTCTCTCCGGCTCTAGCTCTCCAGAGAAGGGCATAGTTTTGATCTAGGCTTACGTTCTATGTGAGCATTAACTAGGCGTTGACATTGGATGCCTTGAGATCGTACTGCCTTTTCAAATTAAATAAAAAAGGATCTTGTAGGTTTATCAAGGGTCTAATTAAGAAGGGGTTGGTCTAATCCTTTGAATATCCAATAAGACTTGCCTACAAGCGGTGGTTACTTAGCTGGGGTTTTTATCATAGACACACAGCCAAAAGATGCCAAAGCTCTATGATTTATGTTAGCTTCACCTGTAGTAAGCATCCTGGAAACTTGACTCATAAGCGGCCTGAAACTTTCGACGAATGAACTCTCGCTCGTGTTCTTTAAATGACCAAAAAATTTCTCTCGACAACGACTCGCCTGGCACTTTATCCCAGACGAGGTACGTGATATACCCTCCAGGTACGAGTCCATCCCTGCCTTGGACAGTTTCACTGTACCCAAGAAGCTCGGGAACGCCTGTGCAGCCACCTGCTTTGAACCTTTTCAATGCCATGACCTCACCGTGCTGGTAAGGCGGGACTGCTTGCTGAGTTCGAACTTCAGGGCTTAGAAACTGGGTTTCTCCGATCGGAACTTGGGAGTAAATTCTCATAAAGGCGGACTCGGGGAAGGTCCCCACCTGGTAGTACAAGAACTTGCTCATCGTATAAGATGGCACAGTCCCACTGTAACCATCACGGTTAAGGTCTTCGCGCGTGATCTGGCAAGAGATTCCATTTAGCTTCTTATCAACCACCCATGTATGACCGTGTGGATCTTGAGAGAGTCCGAGCTAGGGAGGACGATTTCAGTACCCTCGAGGCCGAAGAGGAAAAGTTGAGAGTTGCCGATCATTTTCACTACTGGAATCGAAGTAGTACAGTTGGTTTGAAAATTGTAGCCTCACAGCACCATAAAAGTTCAAGGGAACAAAGTCGATTGGGAAGGAAATAGTCTAGTGAGAGGGAGGGAGAGAGAGAGGGATGAATTCCGAAAGGCATTCAAGGCATCCACAACGCAATCATCTGTCATCCGTGACAAGACAAAGAGGGAAACCTCTCCCTTTAGTCAGATGCCCAAGGCCCTTGGGAAGTGATCTCTGCTGATGTTTTAATTAACTTGCCACCTTCCTATAACTAGCCTCTTCTCTCTTGTCTATCTCTTACTAGTATCATGATTCACTGCTAAAGACTTTTTGTACTTGTACAATTACCCAAAGCTTCTATTCAACGCCTTAGGATCCTCTGTTACGTTCACTTGTACTTCGAGGGGTAAGAGTTCCATCATCTATGATGACCACACTTCTACCCACTTCTTTTAAGGGTTACAGAGAACTACCATGGTTGCAGATAAGTATATTCTAGGGGAGCTTTAGAAAAGAATCCACCTCCCATATGTTGTAAACAACTTCTCCTTGTTAAGAGTTAATCTCTGGATTAAGAATCAGATAAAGAATGCTAGACGTAACTGTCCTGTCTGCACTATAACCTCGCCCAACTGAATGAAACCAGCCTTTAAACGGGTACTCTTTTCAAAAACGACATCGTCGGAGCTTACTTGCTCTAGATGAAAAAACCTACACGAGGATTACGAGTAGCAACTTCGCGTCAAGTGATGAATTTGACATTAAATCAATCAACATGACTCTGCATCATTTTACATGTTGAACCTGGTGGAAACAAGAATTTCTTTTTATTTTTTTTTGTTCCCTGTATCCCCAAGTCCCAATGAAGCTGGAACGAGGTGCACCGAGGGTAAGGCCCGTTTCAAGAAACCCCTAGTCCGGCAGCCAAATTCGGATGCACCCTCAAAACTCTAGATTGACCGAGAAGTGGTTGACAGGACATCAGTGCCTCTCAGCATTTACTCCTGGGGAGCAGCGCCACGGCCACGGCCGAAGCCACCACGGAAAGAGGGAGCGAACTCGCCAGGGGCACCGCCCTCCTTTCCACCCTCCTCGCGACGGCGGTAACCGCCCTCACGGGGAGCACGGGGACCACGGCGCTCACCGCGCTGCTCCTCACCGCCCATCATGCCGCGAGGGGGAGCGTGGGAACGCTGCTGCTTGATGTGGGTGGCAGGGACAACCTCGGCGGGGAGGTGGAGCCACTCACGGAGGTAGTCCAGACCCTGTTATTCAATCAGTATTTACGCATATGTGTGTGTTAAACGTGGATGAATCGCACCTCGGGAGTGAGGGTGTAGTAGTAGTACTGCCACGAGAACTGAGTCTTGACAAAGCCGCGGGAGTCCAGGGACTGGAGGGCCTTGATGACATAGAGGTTCTTGGTGTCAATGTCACTGTGCTTGGGAAGGTTGAAGTCCTTCTTGGCCACGAGCACTCCCTCTAAAATGTAGGTTAGTGTATCCGCTCTAAGGTGACGGAGCGCAATGTCCCAAGGTCACGGGGACGTCGACGAGGGTCATCGTTACATACCACGGAAGAGGTACTCGTGGATCTTCTTGCGGTCGTCCTTGGGGATAAGCCTGCGCCATTGTTAGTGGATCTGTCAAAATAATTGCAAAAAAAAACAAGCATACATACATTGTCGCGAGTTCCTGGTGCAAGTCGGGGAATCGCTTTGACAACGCCCGAGAATAATGGTTGATTTAAATGATGGATGAAGAGTGGAGCTTCGTTGCGAGAAAAGTGCGACGGTCCGATTTGGTTGTAGGGTTCGCACCCTAATCAGTTTGTGGTTCTGATCACATGATCTACCGCCATTGCATAATTTAGAGTATCACGTGAGAAGTAACTAGCCATTCTCCGTTGACTAACGTGTTTGCTGAGTCATCATGACTACGACCGCCCCGATCCTTGATCTTATCGCAACATCTTCGACCTTTCAAGCCTATTAGAGTATTTTTTCCTTACAAATAAACACAGAACTCGCCAACCACGCGCTCCTACTACATTATAGGGAACTGCTTCTGACACACCCAACATGGCTTCCTCAAATGTCAACGTTCTGCTCTCGACCTTTCCAGGACTGTCGCTGCCGGCGACACTTTCGTTCACCTTGCCATCGACAGCGAGCACATCAGACCTGACGGTCAAAATCGCTTCATATCTCCCGCCATTCCTTTCTCTTCAGTCACTCGTCCTTACTACAACAAACAACAAACACCTCACGGCTAGCTCCGAATGTGTCGAATCATTCCTCCCGACCCGCGATGGCGTCTTTACCTCCACACTCCTTCCTCTTCGCCTGACTGCCCCCGTCTGTGGTGGAAAAGGTGGTTTCGGATCCCAGCTGCGTGCCGCCGGTGGCCGCATGTCCAGCAAGCGCAAACGCAATCAAGGTGACAACAATGGCTCTAGTCGTAATCTTGATGGCCGCCGGCTGCGCACCGTCAACGAAGCAAAGGCACTCGCGGAATATCTCGCTGTAAAGCCAGAAATGGACAAGAAAGAAAAAGAGGAACGCCAGCGCCGATGGCAATCCGTGGTGGAGATGGCCGAAAAACGCCAGGACGAATTGAAGAACGGCAACGGCAGACAGAAGCTGGATGGACAGTGGATGGAAGACAGAGAAGAAATGAGCGAAAAGACCCGTGAGGCAGTTTTACGGGCTGTGAAGGATGGAGAATGGACAGACAATCTTCGCGACGCTATCCTAGGCGGATCCAGCACTAGCGCCAGTGATGAGGGCAGTGAGGAGGATGCTTCATCCAGCGAGGATGAAGAGAGCGAGGGGAACGGAAAATCATCCAATCCCGGATCCTCTGTGCCTCAAAAGGCTACACCCAGGAAGTTTATAGGCTTCGATGAGGATGACGAGTTTATGAGTGACTCTGATGAGGAGATAAACGAATCTGGCAAGGGAAAGGGAAAGGCGCGTGTTTGATATTCTCTCATCATCAATTTTGGACCATGGTTCACGACGGCGTTCTTTTTCTACTACTTTCAGGGATTCTCTAGCGTATCTGTGTTTCAGCGCCTTCTGTGTCGATAATTTCAGACTCCGACAGGAGATTTCAAGAAAAAAGCGTTCCACTGCCATCAATTCCATCAATTTGGTCTAATTCCCATAATAATGTTCTTGTTCCCAGACTGCGCTGCATTGGCTATGCTTGTACGGCGGCCCGAACTTGCCCTATACGCTATCGATAGATAATAGATAACTGTTCTCGAAAAAAAAGCTCCGCAACTCCGCAATTTCAGAAGCCGTCATGTCGCTATGCTCTCGAGTCGCAATGTTCAGAAACCCGAGATTGAATCTGCTGCGTCTGCTCCCAAAGTCGATTCCTCGATCCCAAGCTCAACTGCTTTTTTCACAATCGTGCGCCGCGCCACAATCCAAAGTCCGTGAGAACGTCCGTAGGCAATGTCGATGCTTCTCAACAACTCGCTTTCAGCGAGAACAGCCCCCATATAAGCCTCAAGTCGACACCCTAGCCGATTCCCTTCCTGTGTGCTGTCCAGGATGTGGCGCATTCTCCCAGACAGTTGAAGCAAACGAGCCAGGATACTATGGTACATCACGAAAGCAGATTCGAAAGCTACTGGCCGTGAGAAAGGAAGCAATTGAACACATTAATCGACCAAATAACATGTTATCCACCGAGGTACATGACTTGAGCGCAGAGCAGAGCGATGCTATCGAGGAGGCGGTGCCACCCCAACCCATTCAAGGTGGGACGTCTAGACTACTGCTTGAACGCGCTGTTTGCTAACTGAACCCAAAGATGGAGCTTTTCCGGATGAAGCTGTCGATCCCGAGACCAATTTCCTTGGGTCCACGGGTCGAATCACCGAAGTCTGCGATCGTTGTCACGACTTGATACACCACAACAAGGCAGTATCTTCGCCTAAGCCGACTATTCTGTCCATACGACACTATCTGGAGGAATCACCGTACAAAAACAACCGTGTTTACCATATCATCGATGCCGCAGATTTCCCACTGTCTCTCGTTCCACGTATTCATTGGGCGTTAATGCTGCAGGAGCAACGCTCGCGGAACCGACGATCTACGAATGAGAAATACGAACGCGGGAGAAAGCTTCCATCACTCTCGTTTATCATCACGCGCTCAGACCTTTTGGCCGCAACAAAGGAGCAAGTAGACTCGAAGATGGCCTACATTCGCACAGAGCTCCGTGCAGCTTTGGGAAGATCAGGGAGGGAGGCCCGTTTGGGAAACGTGCACATGATTAGTGCGCACCGTGGCTGGTGGACGAAGGAAGTCAAGGAAGAGATCCGAGAGCATGGCGGCGGTATTTGGGTCGTTGGAAAGGCTAATGTCGGAAAGAGCAGCTTCATTGAAGCTTGTTTCCCTAAGGATTCCAGAAATGTGGAGAAAATCGAAGAGTGGGTTCAACGCCGCCGTGATGAAAAGGAGATTCCAAACCAGCGAGAGGCCACCCCTCTTGACCCCAATAGCCTTCTGCCCCCTGCCCCTCGTGAGGATCTATATCCTGTTCTCCCAGTGGTTTCTTCCCTTCCGGGCACTACAGTCTCGCCTATCCGTATTCCATTCGGCCGCGGAAAGGGCGAGGTCATTGATTTGCCCGGCCTAGAACGTGGTCTACTGGAAGACTTTGTTCAGGATGAACACAAGCGTGATTTGATCATGACGAAGCGAATCAAGCCGGAACGTTTAACCATTAAACCCGGCCAGTCTCTTCTGCTTGGTGGCGGTCTTGTTCGCATCACACCGGTGAATCCCCAAGATACCGTCATGTCCGCCAGTTTCCTACCTCTCGAGTCTCACATCACAAACACCCAGAAAGCCATTGAGACGCAGGCCGAGGAAACCCCATACCGGGGGACCGTTATTATGAAAGAAGGAACCGGCAGTGCCATGGCCTCCGCCGGTAAATTCGACTTGAAGTGGGATACCACCAACTCAAATCTTCCTACCTCGCTCGCTAAAGCTGTCAAGGACAGGGGAATTTCAGTTCCTTCATTGCCATACCGCGTGATGTCGGCAGATATTCTCATCGAGGGCTGCGGTTGGATCGAGCTCAGTATACAAATTCGCAGCAAGCGGGACACCGAAGACGAACCTTCCTATCCGCAGGTCGAGGTTTTCACTCCCAACGGGAAGCACATCGGGTCTCGGCGTCCGATTGAATGTTGGAATTTTATTGCAGAGAAGAAGAAAATCGACAAGCGCAAACGACCGCGCACGAGATATTGATTGTGATTTGGGTAATCTAGATATGTACATTAGGCTATTTAGCATAGCGGTTCGGCATTTCTCCTCTCTTTAATGTACAACACTCTTGTTTGCATAGCCTCCAATATCTCCCTGGTCGAGTTCAGGTGCACGTTGTACAATATATGTTATAGTGCTCACCCCCACGGTCCTCCGCTGGTGGGGGTTGGGATCAGTCTTTGACCCTTCATTTAATCTTCTTTCCCCCGACTTGATGTTGCCGCAATATCCAAGCTGAGTTTCACAATCTGTGGAAAATCCTGGTGAATTCGTGGTCGTTTCAAATAACGCCTGATTGCTTTTATACCTACATCGCCTTATGCATATACCAAGCTCCTACGGAATCGACTTTAGCAGCGTCGATGCAGTTTGACGTCTCTATCACTTTTTCCGCCATACAAATTCGAGAAATCTGCAACCTAGGATGGCATTTTAATTTGGGTTACATTCACAGTCAACGGAATCTAGGAGAAGCAAGTGCTTAGGATTGACACCGCTCTTTTAGATGCTTCTTCTTGTTTCTATCTCTTACTTCTCATTACAAATTTAAAGTCGGTAGTGAGGGGTAGATGAATCTACATGGAAGGGAAGCCATAAAGATGGCTTCATTTCCCAGATATGAAAAGATCTAGACAGTTTTCCCAATTTCTTTTGACAAGTTGTGAAACGTTTGAAAAGATTTCTTCAAATCTACATCTGGCATGCTGCTTAGTGGACTGTTCTATAGTGTTTCACTCAACAGTCTATCCCACGATGTTGTCTTCCCGAGGAAGTGAGAATGTTAGGGAATTGGCTAAGCCCTGGCGCTTTAGTCTTACCCAAAATTATGACCCAGAGGAGAATCCAACGGGTCTCATCTCATTTGGCATGGCGGAGAATGTATCTGTATCCCCCACAAGCAGGATTCCAAAAGCTAACTACCAACTAGAAACCAATGAGAGTTGAGATAGCTGAATATATTAACGAAAAGGTGCAGATTCCAACTTTCGTCTATATGCCAATATGGTGCTAGTGGGCCAAAAGAATTCACCCTAACAACCTCTCCCAGGTCGTCTTTACACAAGATTCTATCAGCTACCGCTCAAGTGCACCAACAACTGCAAAATTGCTATCCGCGGCAGCCGTTCATTTGAACAATATACTGAAACCACATGCCCCAATTGATCCCGAGCATGTATTCGTTGCAGACTCTCCGACCTCACTTGGCAGTATGCTGGGATATAGTCTCGCAGAACCTGAGGATGGTATCCTCGTCAGCAGACCTGTATACGGCCGCTTTGAGCTAGACTACGGTGTTGAGTCTGGCGTTCGAATGGTCTATGCCGACACAGCCGTGGAAGAGGCATTCTCTCCTGCTTCTGTGGAGAAGTATGAGCTAGCTTTGAAGGCTGCTAAGGACCGGGGCCAGAAGATCCGAGCTGTGCTGCTTGTCAACCCGCACAATCCGGTCGGTGAGTTGTAGATGTCGCGTGTTTCATTGAATTAAACCAACTACCTCCCTCCAGGTCGTTGTTACCCAGTCGAGACACTCACGGCTATCGCCCGGTTCTGCAGCAAGCATAATCTCCATCTCATCAGTGACGAGGTCTACGCCTCCTGTGTGTTTGATTCCGGTGACCCTGAGGCTGTGCCATTTACTTCAATCACCTCGCTAGCTTTTACGGGGTTGATAGATCCTAATCTGGTCCATGTGTTATATGGCTTTAGCAAGGTATGTAGGCGACATTTTCAATAGAGGCAACGAATTTGACGCACCATCATCATAGGACTTTGCTTCTGGGGGTCTTCACCTCGGCTTCTTGGTGACCCAGAACCCGCAGCTTCGTCAGGCCTGCAAAGCAATCTTGTGAGATCCTTATCTAGCATCATAAAACACCAGACCTCGTTGGTCGCACAGCTGACAACTCTATATAGGAGACTCCACGGTGCTTCACAAGCAGCGGTGACGATTGGCACTGCGATTCTAGAAGACCAAGCTTTTGTGTCGAACTTCAGGGCCAAAGCAAGAAAGAGGCTCGCTTCAGCCTACCGGCTTACAACATCGGTGCTTGACAAGGAGGGAATCGACTATGTCAAGGGCGGGTGAGTATACAAATCGGGCAAGACAAAATTCAAATTCTCCTCTAATCCGGTCATCAGAAACGCTGGCTTCTTCGTCTACATCGACTTGTCCCCTTATCTCCCCGCTGACAGCGCTCTTTCCCCGCGGAATCGGGAATTTGCCCTTGCACAGAGGCTTGTCGATGCTGGTGTTTTCTTGCATCCTGGTGAAGAGCATTCGATGGAGATTGGGTGGTTTCGATTGGTTTTCTCGCAGGAAGAAGACACATTGAAGGAAGGTCTTAACAGGTGAGTCCTTTGCTTATTACTGCGATGCATTGGTTCAGTCGGTTGACTTAGGGATTCCTTGTGGGATATTTACAGGTTGTTGAGTGTTTTAAGGTCGATTGCATGAGGTATTCTCCATGTCACTCTCAAGGCTTGAAGATTCGGTAGGAATATGGAATAAGAAGAACATGGCAATAACTAGCCGGTCAATTCCTTGATTTCAGTGTGTCCGTGACTGACGGTGAAAGTCCTGCCACAGCACCGGTGTCGACGTTCAAGGTTGATATCTTGAAAGTGTAGTGGTGTATCCTGCACAGGCTAAGTCCCCCAAATTACGAGGCATGTCATGATGGAATTATTCATTGAATTCGCATATAGAAAAGTGATAAATGTAAATTGCTATATGCCAGGTCTTTCATTTACTTTTCGCAGAAGTCATCAGGCATAATCTTTTGAAACTGGCAAACGAGACTGCATTTTTCAAAAAAAAAGGTCGTTTATTCGACGTTGACAAACTGGAAGGTAGGAGTTCCAGGCACGGCATTCTCGCCCGACAGACCCTCACGCTTCTCACCGGTGCCAACAACCTCACCAGTCTTGCCACCTTCATCAACAGCAATGATCTCAATCTCCTTGAAACCGGAGGTGCGCTTCAGACCACCCACCATCTCGGACAGAACGGCGAACTCATCGAAGGGAAGCTTACGATCAAAGACAGTGGCGGGGGACTCGCCAGCGTTGACCAGACGACGCTTCAGGTTCTGAACGAAAGGCATGGCCTTCTTCATCTCACCGAACTTGCCAACCTTTGCGTTGAGCTCCTTATCATTGAAGGAGAGGTTCAGCGAGTCGAAGGAATCGCGCACCAGGTCGATATACTTCTCCTGCCAGTTGGGGAACTTCTTGGCAACGAAGATGGTAAGCTTCTTGGGTTTACGGGGGTCGAAGGTAATGGCCTTGCCCTTGGACAGCTTCTTGGTGAAGTTGGCCTCGGAGCCCATGATGTTGCTTGCGGTACTACGGACGTAGTTCTGAGCGGCGGTCAGCTCAGGAGAGGGTTCTGGCACGACAGGGAACTGGGCGTAGTGGATGGACTCGGACTAAATGGGGTTAGATCAAGATCGAGCATGAAGTGGGAGAGAGAGGGGTGGGGGGATTAACCTTCTTGAGAACCTCGAGCCAGATGTGCTCGGCCCAGTGAGGAGTAATGGGTGCCAGCATCAGAGCCTGCAGCTCTATGTAGCGCAGAATGGTATCCCGGTGCATACCCACTCCAGCAGCGGTGGAAGCTTCACGGTAGCTGTCACGGGAGCTAGTGAAGTCATATAGGCCAGACTTGAGAGCGAGCTTGAAGTTGGTGCTAGATGAAGGATTAGTCATCAATGTCATTGGATTACTTGGAATGCAAAGCATTCAAATGTGAACTTACTCCTGGTAGTGCTTCTGGGTCTCGCGAACAAGGCTGTTAAGCTCGTTGTTGAAGAGCTTGTCAGCGAAGGCATCAGCAGGGCCAGTGCGCAGAGTCTCGTCCTTAGCAACCTCCTCGATCCACTCCTTCAAGGTGTGGAGACGCAGGATGTTACTGTTGGCAACAGACTCCTCGAAGTTGGCATCTTCAATGCTGTCACCGGCATCGGCAAATGCAATACGGGTAGCATCGGCGCCGAACTTGTCGACGGCATCCTTGAGAGTCAGGAAGTTGCCGGTACTCTTGCTCATCTTCTCGCCGTTGAGGAGCAAGTGGCCGTTAGCACGAACACCACGGGGCCAGTACTCCTTGGGGAAGAGAGCAATATGGATGTATAGGAAGAAGGTCAAGTGGTTCTGGATCAGGTCCTTGCCGGAGACACGAACATCAAGAGGGTACCAGTATTCGAATTCACGACGCATTTTCTGCAGAGATTCTTTGCTAATTCCACTCTTAGTGACAAGCTCGTCACTAATCTCCCGTCTTGTGAAGATGTAGTCCCAAACCTCGTCGGTCATCTGCTCCGCAGTCAAATCCAGGGGGCCAGTCGTTTTACCGTACCGGTCGCCGTGAAGGAGGTGAGCGATGGTGTAGTAGGCCATGTAGACGGTACTGTCACTCAGACTCTCAACCAGGAACTGCTTGTCCCATGGCAGCTGGGATCCGAGACCGTAGGTTCTGGCACATGCCCATCTGTTAAGCCACGATAGATTCTTCTCAAAACCGTTCTTGCATTCGGCGGAGTACGTGTTGAGGTTGTTCACAACGTGGTTCAAGGTCTCCTGCTGCCACTCGGCGTCGTTCTCGCCGTAGTTCAGGAACCACTGGCCCAGGTAGGCAACAACGCAATCGTCACCACTGCGGCTGACAACCTTGCCCATGGGGTCGGCGAAGGGGAAGGCCTCACCACTGTCATAGAGGTCCTTGCGGACCTTGTCCTTAGCATCACTGACAGCCTCGCCCTTGTATTTACCAACTAGCATGGTGCCCTTGTAGAAACCTTCCATGTAGGCCAGATCCTTGGCCTGAGCAAGCTGGGTGACGTCCTTGGGAGAATTGATCTTCAGCTCCTTGACCAGAGCAGGGGCGGTCAAGTTACCGTAAGTGGGAGTGTCAATGAGCGGGAAAATCTCCAGCTCAGCCCACTCCTTCTGAATACCATAGTACTCGGCCTTTTTCGCCAGATCCACCAAGGTGGCGTAGTCGTCGGGGCTGTCGGAGGGGACAGAGGTGACAACACCAGTACCCTTAGCTGCCGAAACACTCTCCATGGGCAGGATGCGGATACCTGCGGTGTGGAAAGAGAGAGGTGCGTTGACCAGTGTTCCAACGAAGGCAGAACCCTGTACCTCAAGAACCTGTGGGAGCTCGTCTTGAGTCTTAGGGAACTTATCGCCGAAGAAATGACCCTGGAAGGCCATGTTCCAGGCAGCACGCTTGGTGACGATAATGTATTCCTTCTCCTTCAGCTTAAATAGACCGTAGTTGATCTTTGGGCCGACGAAGCAGCTAGTCTGGCCATACATGGTCTCGGGGCGCAGGGTGGCTGGAACGAAGTATACTTTAGCGTCATCCTCAATCTTTCCTTTCACGAGCTCTGCCATTTTCGGCGACCACTCCTTAACCTGGAGCTTGATAGCAGAGTATTCCTGGGGACCAATGCCCTCGCCCTCGGTGCGGTCGTGGTCCATGCAAGGCTGACCGTCCTTGGGCGAGTAGACGGTGTAACGGTTGCCGTACATGATCTTGCCGAGTTCGTGCAGGCGGTTCATTTGCCAGCGGACGAAAGCATCATAGTAGGGGTTGGCATCGGTGGTGACGAACTGGCGGCGCCAATCGACGCGGGCACCCATGCTGTCAAGATCACGGATAGCAAGAGGAGGGAAGTGGTCGAGCCAGTGGGCAGCGTCGGCAAATTTGTGAATTTCCTCCAGGGGAACGCCAATTGCAAGCATAATCTGGAACTGGTACTTCATCTTCACGGTCTTGGCGGCGGCCTTGCTCTTCTTGCCGGAGAACTTCTCAGCTGCCTCGGTCTTAACTTCTTGTGTGGGAGCTGCGATTAGGTCTTCGGCAGCCTCTGCCTCCTCGTTGTATCCCTCAAAGCCCTGGCCGAACTTCTTCACCTCGTTGGCGAGCTTATCGGCACAGGCCTTGATAGGCATGCCAGTGCAATGAAAGCCCAGAGGGAAAAGTGCACGCTTGCCCTCCATGCGGGCAAATCCAGCCATGAACTCCACCTTACTAGCAGTGAAACTGTGTCCGGCGTGCAAAGTACCGTTCATGTAAGGGTAGGCCATAGTACCAAAGAACTTGGGGTACTTCTCACGGAGCTCGGCGGGGGTCATGACGCCCTGGGGTGCTTCCTCGAACGAGGGTGCATCGACTTCGAAAATCTTTTGGTCCTTCCATTGTGCCTGGTACTTCTTTTCGATTGCGACTAAGGTGTCTCGCTTTTCAGTCTGATAGGGGAAATATTAGTAAATTAAAATCGGCCATGGTGGGGGAGGGGCGTATCAACATTTTCCAGTTTAAGGGTGTTCTTTGAGCTGTTACTCGGATCGAGCTCAGCTGCAGATGCAACTGCGGCGGCCATTTTTCCTGATTGTCAGAATTGGCCTAGAATTCCCTTGAAGAGCGGAGGGGAACAAAAGAAGCGCGGGGCGAGATATAAAATCAGTTTGTTCAGTTTGTGAGTCAAGGTAATCTGAGCGTATTGTATTTTACGGGGGGGCTCCACACTCTGAATGTCCTTGGAATCTTGCAAATTTGCATGGATTGGTGGGCAAAGGAGATGATCGTTAAGGGGTTGGACTCAAAACATATATGCAAATTGAATCATTAGATGAGCTTCAGTTCTTAATGGTCTCTAGAATGAGGATCAACCAAACAATTACATGTGACCTGATCAATACCAGATGTAGATTGGTGGTCACACACGTGACTATCACGGAGCAACTTCTTCGCCGACAAGCGCATCTTCGATAAATTTCCCCAACAACAAACTCGCGATTTTGGCCATAAATTACCTGTTCTCGAGCAATAATCTTACCAATTAATCTCCTACTCTCGCTTTATCCATATACCCACACGTCTCGTCGTATAAGGGCCAGTCCCTGTGCGAAACAGCCCCTCATCATGGTCAACTTGTTCAAGCGGCTTCGCAAGCTGCAAACTGTATGTACAGCTTCTCTTAGCTCTTCTTCTGGGGGCTCTCTGAAATTAATGCAGAATTGATGGACTAATTCAAATTTTCTTCTCGCCAGAGAGTAAGCCGAAAGCCCGTTCCTTGAGATCTCCGACTCTACAACCTCCGAGTCTTAGCTCGCGTTGTCTCCTACAGTCTAGCCAAGATATGTCCAATCAACTGACTTGTTATTTCACTGCTCCAGATGCTCCAGACCAAAATTGGCACAGGTGCAGCCATCTTCCCCAACCTCACCTCCGCATCAAAAGAATTTCCAGCCGTCACCCGACTCCACCTCACATATGCACGCAAGATTGACCAGGGCCACGGAGGCGCGCGGCATTTCTGGCGTAACTGCCTTCCACGACTGAAATATCATAACCCGGGTGTGCCGATGACTGTGACACAAACCTCCGACCAGCAAGGGCCTGCAGCATTGACAATTTACTTTGCCGAACGTGTCGGCAGCGCTGCAACGGCTCTCGCAAACGAAAAGAAGGTCATCGATGAGCTTGCCCCGGCCCCTGAGGCCAACGAGAAATCGGCAGTCCTGGATATCAAGAACCGCACATACCAGCAGATTTGGGATCGTGTGCAGGCCATGACGGGCGCGAAGGTGGTCCCTGCTAATAGCGAGGATATTGC